TGCACTTTTCATCTTTCAAGCGGCATGGTTCACGCATCCAGACCTGCATGGGATAGTTGATCGAGCTTGGAAACCTACTAATAGCGTGGTGGAAAATGTGCACAACCTGGCTAGTGATCTGGCAACGTGGAATAAGGATTCTTTCGGATGTGTGTTTAAACGAAAACGTGACATCATGGCTCGAATACAAGGTCTTCAGAGAGCCATGACAATTAATAATCACAGAGGACTGGTGAAGTTGGATATGAAGCTCAGAGAAGAAATGGGGGATATACTGCACCAAGAAGAGCTTATATGGTATCAAAAATCCCGGGAACAGTGGATTTACTCGGGGGACCGTAATACGACCTTCTATCACGCGGCTGCGACAATTCGCAAGTCCAGGAATGTGGTGCACAAGCTGATGAATAATAACAGCGAGTGGATTTCGATCGACACTGGGCTTCGGGATCACATTCGCAATTTTTTTATCCAGCTCTTTTCTTGTGCAGGTGCCAGAGACCCTATGGAGCCGATGTGGGCAAGCTTCCGCGAATAAGGACCAGGGATTGGGCGTATTTTAACCGACAAATCTTCAAGGAGGAGGTTCACAACGCTTTGAAGGACATGCAGCCTTTTAAAGCCCTCGGGCCAGACGGGTTTCAGGCGGGTTTTTATCAGCACACATGGGACACTACTGGTGATAGCATTTCCTGTCTGGTTAAAGAAGCATTTGAGAAGGGTATCATTCCAGCTGGACTTAATGACACCCTCATCACCCTAATCCCAAAGGTTAAAGATCCGGAGACCATTAAACAATTCCGACCCATAAGCCTTTGCAACGTCAGCTACAAGATCATCACGAAGACTATCACGAATAGGCTTAAGATCATCCTACCCAAACTCGTAGGACCGTTTCAGAGTCCCTTTGTTCCTGGCCGGCAAATTTCTGATAACGTGCTCATTTTCCAGGAGGTAATGCACACAATGCGTGATAAACGGGGTACAAAGGGGTTCATGGCAATAAAGTTGGACCTGGAAAAAGCCTACGACCTCTTGTCTTGGAATTTCATTCAGGATACACTGGAGCATGCGGGGTTTACGGATAAATTGAAGAACCTCATGATGTCCTGCATTCGAACCTCAAGGCTTTCCCTTATTTGGAATGGGGAGCGATTGGAGTATTTTCGACCGGAACGGGGCATCAGGCAAGGGGACGCTATGTCGCCAGCCATCTTCGTTTTGTGCATGGAGCGGCTAAGTCAACTTATTGACTCTAAGGCAAAGAGCCGCAATTGGAAAGGTATTCAACTTGTACCCAATAGGCCCATTTTAACTCACCTCTGTTTTGCAGATGACATGATCCTATTCACGGAAGCGACCTATGACCAGGTGGAGGTAGTGAAAGAGTGTCTGGAGTGTTTTTGTAAAGCCTCCGGTCAGAGAGTCAGCTTGGGCAAATCCCAAGTCTATTTTTCAAAAAGCACAGATCAGGGCCTGGCGGATGAGATTGCAAACCGGTTGAACATTGAGCGCACAAATGACTTGGGTAAGTACCTGGGAGTCCCCGCCATCCATGGCAGGGTCACTTGCAATACTTTTTCTCATCTGATGGACAGGATCACGAGCCGCCTCGAAGGATGGAAAGCTAAGACCCTGTCGCTGGCAGGGCGGGTTGTTCTGGCCAAATCGGTCTTGAACGCGATCCCAATCTACACCATGCAGATCGTTGCTTTACCCAAAGGCATTTGCATGGAAATTGAAAAGAAAACGAGGAGATTTATTTGGGGCAGCAGCGACACTGTAACTAAAATGAGTCTTGCCAACTGGGGATTGGTCACTTCGCCTAAGGATGTTGGCGGCTTGGGGGTGAAACGGCTGAGCGAAATGAACATGGCTTGTATGGCGAAACTTGGATGGAGACTCATGTTGGAGTCGAACAACCTTTGGGCACAAACCATCAACACGAAATACAGGAGGCAAGGAGCAGGAGTGGGAACCGCATTAGGGAGGAGAAACATTTCTAATGCTTGGCGGGGAATCGCTGCAGCTTGGGGGACCATGGAGGAAGGCCTAACTCGCATTGTCCGGAGTAGCAGAGAAACACAGTTTTGGATGGACAAATGGCTTTTGCCGGAACCCCTCTACGCGGAGCTTCAAACCACTCTCGCTCTCCCAGATCTTTACGTTGGAAAAAGGTGCTTGTATTCTGTAATACATTTGAGATACAACAAAAATACAGAAGACAACAAGGAACAAAAACTGGATCATTTGATATCTTCAGGCGTGTAATCACTTTCCTATAAGCTTTAAATCTCCCTCTATAAAAGCAACAAGATTCGAGATTTAATCTTATGGGATACAAGAAGATGAATGAAATTCTCAAGTTGCTTTGTTTGAAAATTTCCTGTAGAATTGTAAGCATGTGAAGTATCTTGATTTCTTGCAAATTACATAATAATCATATAAAATTGTCTATGTCTTTCAGATGCCTCTCCAAATATTTATAGATGTAAAATCTAACTGTTATGAGAGGTTACATGGAAGTTACCAGTAGTTTAAAACTAACTTCCATAAGATATATCTTAAAATATATATTTATCATGGAAGAAAATTAATTACATAAATCATGAATATATCTATATATATATATATATATATATATATATATATATATATATATATATAATATTTGCTAAGCTTAAAAGGTTTGCATGGGAAACATGAAAGTAAGCACAACACACGTGCTGCTTTTGATTAAAAAAAACCAGCACACATGCTATTTGCCGAAATCAATTCGGTGAACCTTACACTATCCACAAATCGGTAAACTTCCGGTTCATGCAAAACCAGTAATTATCATCTTTTGGTCCAATCAAAAGTCACCAGGAAGACTTGTTTTAATCCTTCCGTAGTAAATTTCTTCCAGTATTTTAATTAACTTTCTACCAAATAATATTTATAACTCCATAACTTCAAATATTATTTAAACTTTCATGGTAGTCCGTCTAAAACATTAATTTCATTTACTATATAAATCTCCAACAAAATGTACTCACCATATTATGGACATAAGTTGTTAATTTTATAAACATGTTATAGAACTGTAGTTAGCATATTATGTAGATGTAGTTACCATATTATGTAGTTGTAGTACCAACATTGTTTCTAATTATGCAACAACAAAAATGGGACGTCAATACGTCATGAAAGGCACAGTTTAGGTTAACTATATATAAGTAAATAAGCTTTAAAGTTAAAGTTCATAAATCTAGTGTTTTACATGCAATCATTCTTTCAAAAGGTTGAACCTCAATCCTAAGGGCAACATATATAACTGATCGAATTAACAAAATATAAGTAATTTGAAAAGAAAAAAGAAAAATACACAACAATTTTAACGTGAAAATCAAATTGTGAAAACCACGAGCCTTTTTGGACGGTGACGAGTCGAAATCCACTATTTTGTAATCATTTTATACATATATCATGGTAGAGCTCTTAGAGAAATGAAACCATGCATCCTCCCGGTCCTCTCTTTTTCCCCCTCTTTTTTTAGCATAAGAATTGTAGATGGTGACTGGTGAGTAGGGGGTATTCATGGATAATTAATAGGGAAATAATGGGTAATTAATGGGTAGTAGATGGGAAATAATAGGTAATAAAGGGTAATTAATTTGAGGGTTATGAAAGGGTGTTTGGTATCCATCACTAGTTTGAATAGATATTTAGATCAAAATTAGTAAGTTTTTATTAGGGTTTTTGACTCAAATAGGAATGGGCCTATCTGATTGACAATAATAGGAATGATATTTTTTTTTTTTTGACAATAAAGGGAAAATTGAGTTTGGGAAACGCGGTTGGGCTGAAAACCGCATTTCCCAAACTTGGTTGAGCTTGATGGTCACGTCAATATCAGCCGCATTTGGGAAATGCGGCTGTAGTATAATATACAACAACCGTGTTTCCCAAATGAGGTTGTCGTATACACAAATACGCATTTAGAAAATGCGGTTGTCGTATATTATACTACAACCGCATTTCCCTTATCTCTCTCCTCAAAAGCATCAATCGATACAACGCTCGCTTCTCTGATTCAAATCTGTCTCCAAACGCTGGCTTTCACTCATCACCCACCCCTACTTCGGTAGCGATGCCCCGTTCAGAACTCTAGAGTTTGGTGATGAGAAATATGGAATGACTGTCCAGTCTTCCTGCAATGGCTTGTTCCTGTGCTATAGTAGCTTCCAGGTTGAAAATGGCTGTCGGAGCTTCTACGTTTACAATCCTAGTACTCACAGTTTCACCGCTTTGCCGGATTCCCCTTACGATTCCTTCTTGGTAAAACAAAGAATTGGGAGAGTTCATTTTGTTACCTTAGCCCAACCGTGTTTCCCAAACTCTGTTTTTCCTTTATTGTAAAAAAAAAAAAAAATCATTCCCATTATTGTCAATCAGCCTAGGCCCATTCCTATTTCAGTCAAAACCCCTTTTTATTATAAAATTAAGTATTGATTTTATAAACAAGTATTTAACCGATTATGTATATGCAATCAAAATATTATATACAAAAAAATTAATAAATTATTATGTATGTGTAGTACCAACGTTGTTTTATTTTATATAAATAAAATTAATGTATAACATATATTATTTTTAAGTAGTTAGGGTTGGGTCCACGATATAATTTTGCCCTCCATTAATTAATTCATTCTTTTCAAAAGGTTGAATCCTCGACCCCTGCCAGACAGAACATCTTGAAGGATGTAAATCATGGTAATTCAACTAAACCACAGGAAAGATGTAAATCAGGGTAACTCAACTGAAACACAGAGGCTAGACTTTTGTTTACTGCGCACAAGGAGCCCTCATCACGAGAGATTATTCCCACACTGTCGCTAATGAAACTCATCCCTGGTCATTCTTTTCAAACTTCACTACCTGAGCTGCCCATGCATGCAAAAAACAAAAAGGGGACTCGCAATTACTCAAAGTCATCGTCGTAGAAGAGGCGAGGCGTGCGCGTTTGAAATTTGAATATTCCTATTTCTCACCACCGACTCACCACAACTTTTATATATAACCGCAGTGTGTGGAGAGTGCAGAGAGTGGTGGCGCCGGGAGCCTCTAATTTACTTCTGTCATAGCCAGGCCAGTTAAAGAACTCAAATATATATATATATATATATATATATATATAATGGAAGCTAAGATGAGCGCCGCCAGCAGTAGCAGAAGGTATGTATGTAGTTAGTATATTCTACTTTCAACATTCTATTCATGGTTTTGATGTTATGAGTATTTTTGGGCGGAGGCCGATGAAGGCCAACTTCAACACCCTGACTCTCGAAATCAGGTTATGAAAAGTTGCCCCCTTTACTACTAATTATAACTTTTGGCATAGTGGTAATAAGCGCTTAGAGTTAAATTTGTTTGTCTATTTGTGTTTGTTATGTGGGGAGGCGTAGGTGTGGTGTTGTGAGCGGAGCAAACAGAGGAATAGGATATGAAATATGCAGACAGCTTGCTAATGAAGGGGTGGTGGTAGTGGCCACTGCAAGGGATGAGAAGAGAGGGATGGAAGCTGTGGAGAAGCTCAAACAGTTATGTGGTGGAGAAGATGAAGATAGTATTGTGTTTCACCAACTTGATGTTGCAGATGAAGTTAGCATTTCTTGTCTTGTGAATTTCGTCAAAACCAAGTTCGGGAAACTGGATATCCTGGTAATATAATTATCCACTCCGATCCTTTCTTTTCTTTTCATTTCTTCTTTAAATGCTCATCCATATAAAGTTTCCCGTTGTTATACGGTGGACTATGCTCATGCAAAGGAATGTTATCCTGGAGCTCTTGTAATTCTAATTATTCGTATGTCGGTTTAATGCTGAAGCAATGTCTGTCGATTGCTGAGGACATTGGGAGCGTTAGTGTTTCCCATGTCAAGAGATCAACGAATCGTGTGGCTCATGAGTTAGTTCGGGCAACCGTTCTATGTCTGTCTCAGGAGTCTGGACTGTTATCCTACCTGATTGTATCTCGAATTTGTTAAGTTTTGGCGTTTGATTTCAAAAAAAAAAAATTGCATGGATTGCATTGTAATTGAATTGCAATTTTTAGGTGGTGTTTGGTTGGGCATGAATTGCATTAGAATTGAATTGCAATTCAATGAAATGATAAAGTACATTATTTGGTTGGGGGGAATTGCAATTTAATGAATTCATCCATACAATGAAAAGGAAAAATGACATATTTGTTCTTCAATATTATTATTAATATTATTACACAAGGGTATTTTAGTATTTATATCACTTCTCCCATTTCCATTATTTCTCCCTACCAAACAATGTAATTGTAATTCCTACTTTATTCCTACCTTATTTTTTTCCCACCAAATTAAAATTGCTTTCCCCCTTAATTCTTTCCTTCCAACCAAACGCCCTGTAATTGTTTTTCAATTGTCTATATAGTCCCTAATTTTTAATTTCAAACAATTTGATTCTTAAATTGCTTAAAATTACATCAATTAAATACCTTTAAGGACTAAATTGACGAAATTTTTAAAATGTGAAAATTATCATTTTGGTCTTTGAAAGGGTTCAATTAACGAAATTTCAAACAATTCGATGATCAAATTGGTTGAAATTAAAAATTATAGACTGCATTGACAGTTGGGAAACAATTGAGGGACCAAAATGTTGATTAATTCTAAATAAAATTTATACAATAATCTAGCTAGCTTGTTTGATAAATAGTTTTATGATTCAAATATTTAAAAATTAATTGACTATTAAGACAATGTATTATTTATACTTTTATGCATTAGAGAATAATATTTTTTTCATATACTTCTCTTCTTGGTAAATGATGATATTATTCATTCTTCTAAAAGGCTGAACCCCAACCCTAAGGGATGATGACATTATTCATGATTTGTCTATCGGAGACAAAGTTGATTTGTTCCAACCCAATGACTTTATGAAGAATGAGGTTTTAAATAATTTTTAAATTCAACTTATTATATTTAATAGTACTTTTCTGTTGGCTATAATATTCTTTCTTTACTTAATTGTAGGTAAACAATGCAGGTGTAAATGGGCTTATTATTGAAGGAGATGGTTTAATTCTCAAAGAGATGATAGAAGCAGATTCCTCACGAATCAGTTCTGCAAATGAAGTAAGTTATCCATATAATACTCTCTCCATCTTATAAAAATTGCATTAATTTTTAGGCAGCTCTTTAAGAAATTAAATATAAAAAAAAAATAATTTATCTTTAAACTTTACCTGTAAAGGTTGCATTGAGAGTGCACATGTTAAAATTATTTTCAAATCAAATGAGACCCACTCAGTGAAAAATTAAAGTTTTCTTAATAATAATTTTTAAGAGAAAATTTCAATTTTGGTCACATGACTATATGGGCTTTGTTAATTTCAGCACTTAATTTTTAAAAATATCAATTTAGTACATTGATTATGCAATTTTTGTCAATTTTAACCACTCCAACTAAATTATCGGTCAAATTTCGTCGGAAAATATTAATGGTTAAAAAATTGAACATATTTTAGTCATTTCATCCCTCTTCTATTATTCTCCCACAATCCATCCTCCTCCACAGGCGCCAGCAAGCCTTCGCTGCTTCTCTCATTCTCCGCCACAGCTGTCAGAGCAACCTCCTGCCCTCCACCGCCCTTTCCTCTTCGACATTCAGTATCCAGACTGTTGCATACGACAAGTCCTTTTTCTCACTCCATCTCGGCGCCCATCTGGAAAACCTAAGGAGCTTTCCGTCGATAATCATCTGGCCTTTGGCCAAAATCTGGTCGCATTCCTTCTCGTATATTTTTAGCATGTTTGTTTTCCCTCACAACATCCGCAAAAGATTTCGAGAGAGACTCGGGCAATCTACGACCTGGATTCACCGCATCGCAAATCTCCTTTGCCTCCGTGCTTTGATTCTGGCCGTTCTGAGCACTCGGACTAGATTCTGGCTCCTCAATCCTATTAGTCGCAGCATAATACATAAAATTACGAATTTCTTGAAAAAAGTCCGTATCCGGCGACGTGCCGGTCACCGGACCACCGTCGCCCTCCGGCAACCATGCCACCGGCTATTGCCATCTTCTTCGAAGAATTTCCAAAGATCCGGCGAAGAAATGAGGAGAAAAAAATAATACATACAAAAAGACTAAAATATCCCCAATTTTTTAACCATTAATATTTTTTGGCCAAATTTGACTGACAATTTGGCCGGAGTGATCAAAATTGATAAGAATTGCATAGTAAAGGTACTAAATTGACACTTTTGAAAGTCATGTGCTGAAATTAACAAAATCCCTATAGTCATGTGACCAAAATTTAAATTTTCTCTCATTTTTAATGATAAAAAGGTAAGTTGGGAAAAATAATACAAAGTTAGCATTACTCAAATTGAAGAATTATGCATTATTTTGGGATGACGTAATAAGGAAAATCTCTATCTCTATTAAAGCAAAATAAAGTGGGAAAAAAATTTTCTTGCCAAATGAGATAAGCAATATGAATGCATTTATTGTGTTCACAATGATGGGCAGAGTTTTATATTTAATATAATTTGTGTATATATTCATTTAAACCTCAATTATAATTAATTTGACCCCCCCCCCCCCACACACACACACACACACACACACATATATATATATATATATATATATATATATATATATATATATATATATATATATATATAAAGAGAAATAAGATACGAGGTATAAAATAAATATAGTTCTTACATAAATAATCTTTTTCAAATGAATAAGTTTTTGGTGAAGATTTTTGACAAATATTGCCTGTTATTTTATTTACAAATTTTATTTAAATACGTTAGCTATGTAATTAAATTAGTTATTTCAATTTCAAATTCAAATAATAATACAAGTAACAATAAATTTTAAAATCCACATAATAATGACATAATTAAACTTTTAAAAATATTAAATATTACATTGTATAATTATACTTATATTTTTAATAAAACTAAATCTGTCTAGTATCATAACATTACAACAATACCTATAAATTTTGTTCGTGCATCGCACGGGGCAAATACTAGTAAATAGTAATGTAAGTGAATATTCAATTCCTTCTTCCCCAAGAGTGAGAATCTACAACTTCAAGGACCCCACAACCCGGCTTGAGTACTTGGGATAATGTAAATTATGATGTACACAAATGATTTGTCTACTTTAGACATAATCTTCACACTGCTGCTACCGAGATTCAAACTTTAATTTCTTTTTTTAAATATTACTTACAAAATTAGCGAATTAAGCCCAAGCGATTAATATTAATATTCAATAATTCCTCTGATTATTGAAGCAGGAGTTAGAAATAGAGTTGAAAAGTGATGGCGCACTCATTCAAACTTATGAGTTGGCTGAACAGTGCATTAATATAAACTACCATGGCACCAAAAGAATGGTTCAAGCATTTCTACCTCTTCTCCAGCTCTCCCATTCCCCTAGAACTGTCAATGTTTCCTCCACTCAGGGGAACCTAAAGGTGTGATCATCAACTCTTACTTCCATACATTTAACATCGATGCTATCAAAGCCGTTACAATAAAAATTGGGGCTCTGTACTAAATCATTTAGTTTGGGGTCCTCTTTTCAAGTAATTTATATATATAAATAATACTTGTTCAAAAAGTTGTATCAAAATACAAATATTGTATTTAAATACATCTAAAATTTCATTTAAAAAGTGAATACATGCACCGTACACATTTAGACGCAAAATGATTTACCAAATCTTTGATATCAACTCCTTCCAAAAGCTCATTTTCAATGGAGATTAAACTATTTCAATGAGTCCCTCTTTCAACATACTTGATTGTAAGTAAGATTTCAATAATTTCAATTTTGAAAAACTTTTTGTTGCAGAGGCATAGTAATTGGGATAGTCAATAATATTCGATATGCAATAGTAGCATTTGAAAAACAATTCATCTATTTCAATGAATTCACTCACTGCCCCTATCTTTTCTTTTGATAAAATATCTCTAAACAATTTTAACTCGCACACGCGCGCGCACACACACACACACACACACACACACACACACACACACACACACACACATATATATATATATATATATATATATATATATATATATATATATACATATATATATATTTACTTATTTATTTATTTATTTATTTATTTATATATATATTTTTGGGTTTTTAAAATAATTGTCAATTTAGCTCAATTTCACCCTATCATAAATTGGTCCAATCTTTCTACACTTAACCTTAAATCATGTGTATTATATATACATAATTTTTTTAAAAAATATGGGACCCCTTAAAAATTGGTGGCCCTGTGCAATCGCACATGTTAGAGATGCTTAGAACCAGCCCTTCATCCTAGTTCATAGTAAATAGACAGAGCATTTGGGAGGATTTAAATCAGGATGACTCATTGGTTCAGCAAACAAGACAAAATACTTATGCGCACAAGAAATTTGTCCACTTTAAATATAATTCTTACACTATCGTCGTCAAAGTTCGAACCTTAATCTCTTCTTTCAAATACTACCTATTACCTACTGAACCTTAATTATATTAAAAATACATGCTTGCAGCTACTATCAAAAAATGAGATGGCTAGAAAGATATTGAGCAATGGCGAAAGCCTAACAGAGGAAAGGGTGGATGAAGTGGTGAAGGAATTTCTCAAGAATTACAAGGAAGGTCCAACCATAGCACAAGCCAAAGGTTGGCCAAGATATGCCTCAGCCTACAAAGTCTCCAAAGCAGCAGTGAATGCTTACACAAGGATTTTAGCCCAAAAATATCCCAATAATTTTCGCATCAATTGTGTGTCCCCAGGCCATGTGAAGACTGATATGACTGTTAATGTTGGGATGTTGACCCCTGAGGAGGGCGCTGAAAATATTGTGAAGTTGGCTCTATTGCCCGATGATGGACCGTCTGGCTTCTTCTTCTGCCAGAAAAATGTTATGGCTTTCTAGACCTAATTAATTTAATGGATGTATTAGTAATAATTACTACTAAGTACTAATGAATGACCGACAGTCTGGTTTCTTCCTGTTGCTCTTGAATTGTTTTACTTTTAAATTATTGAAATAAATTTAATTTCTTAATTGACTCTTTATGCTTTAGTAGTTTGAGATTTAATAGTACTCAAAAAAAAATATTATAGATGTTAATTTATTAGTTAATTCCCTTTTATTTTTAACGAATTAATGAACATTGTCACGCTTTATTTACAACACTTTTGCATTGGTTCAATCATGTATCTAATACAATTAGAATGGCTTCTTGTAGCATCTTGTGGACAATTGTCAAGACATTACATTAATAACATAATAGGTCTTGTTTGGTAATGATTATAAGTAGAGTTACGATTACTAGCTACAACATCCTCCCAGATGTTCTGTGAAATCGGGACGTGAGAGACCATTGGAATTGGAGATTCAACCTTTTTGAGAACAATAATACGTGTTTTTTTCTTATTGATACAGACTACTTTATTTTTGCAATAAAGTAAAGTCCATGCAGGCCACTACTAAGTTTGAACAGATCATCAAAACCAACAGCACTTAAAATACAATTATAATGAGTTAATCTCACACGGGGTCTTCTGAGCATAGTGATTTTATCACGTTTAATTCTAAACTTCTAAATTGACCATCTGTGGTCCTTCGACTTTCAAATTTAATCATTCATGGTTCAAGTTAATCACTAATGGTCTTTCAACTTTCGAAATTTAACCAGCCGTGGTCCTCTTGGAAAGACTATGATTTGTTAAAATTTAATAGTTGCTACCATTGTTACCAATTCCGATCCATGTTTCCACCATTGTTACCAATTTAATTTTAACTTGGGTGAGATTCATACCGATTGGTCGATTTTACGCTATACAAAATTTTATCACAACAATTAAAAAAAATATGAATTCCTCAATAAGTAATTTGATGAAACGGTTAATCTAAAGTATGTGAATCACACTTTCCTTAAAATTAATTCTCTCTTCTGAGAGTGCTAAGAGCGTTGAAATGTCAGTTTCTCAAAAAAAATTGATTATTTAAAAATGTTTGAACACTCAAATATTTTGTACAATGGACGTGAACAAAGGGAGCACAAAGATTTTAGAGAAGTTAGAGGTGAGACTAGTACGAGAGTGAAAATAAAAATAAAAATTCTCGTAGTGTAATATCGTTGAGACGTTGACAAAAAGTTTTTAGGAATTGAGACTAGTACAAAAGTGAAAAAAAAAAAAAAAAAAAAAAAACCTCAAAAGAATTCTCGTAGTATAAAATCAATATGCCCAACAAGATGCATACATACAAGAGCATACAAGCTTTTCAAATTCATTTTGGGAGTTCTATTTACAACCCTCTCACCACCCCTCATCTTTCTCTCTCTCCCTTATAAGAACCCTAATCCAGTTTAACCTAATTCAAAGTAGAAATGAACTTCACTCAAAATATTACCTTAAAATGACCACTTAATATGCCACTGAATCACTTAAATAAATTTACATAATAGCAAGCCAAATATTTCATTGATGCAGTTTCACAGACAACAATTGGTCAGCCTTTAAGACTCAAGTTGTAATCTCAACAACATATGATTAATTAATTGTAAAGTATTGAGAATTACTTAATACAAACCAAACTGATACTAATCTTTGTACTACAAAGTTTATCTAGAGCCTGAAACCTAACAAGGCAGATTTACCTCCAAGCCCTGTTGCATCATAGTGAACTGAGTAGTCTCTCACTGTAGTTTCCCTATACTTTGCAGGATTATCTTCACACAACAATTCCTTGATCGGACCATAGATCCTTGATGATGGTACATGGCCGGTGGTGAAGAAGCTGGCCACTGATACCCTTGGACCAACATCACTGGCCACCACTCTGTGTGCAACACTCTTGAACCTGTCATTTGATATCAGCTGCAAATTTCAACCAAAAAAAAAAATGAAAAAGAATTAAATTCTGCTAATGCAATTGGGGCCCGCAGCTGATAAACAGACTGCTAATGCAACTACGAGGTCAGAGGATCAACTATTTGTTAGGCAGAGGTGAAGTCCAGCACCATATGACTAGGGAAATTGTTGAACAGAGACTTGAAAGGCCAAGTCCAACACCCTGCCTCTAAAAAATATGCCGGAAATAACGAGCTATAGCTATTGGCTTAGTAGTAAGCACTTATCCTAAGAAGTGGTATCAGAACTTAAGGTGTTGAAACTTTGCCGTTAAGAATGAGTTTCAGCAAGGGTAAAAACTGTGCAGTTAAGACTGGTACTTGCCTGTAAGAGATCACCAATGTTTATGACTAAAGCTCCGGGTACAGGGGGAACATCAACCCAAAGATTGTCATGGAGGATTTGAAGGCCTCCAATATGGTCTTGTAGTAGGACTGTCATGAAGTCAGAATCAGAATGCTTGCTGGCTCCAATGGTTAGTTCTGGTTCAGGGCATGCTGGATAGTAATGGTACAGAACGGCTAGTCCTTCCGGGCACCCAATCTCATTCAAATGGTTCGGGTTTAGGCCAAGAGCCTCAGAAAGCAAACCAAATAAGGTAAGCCCTAACTTCTTAACTTGCTCAGAGTACTCAATCAGTATATCTCTGCACAAAAATCAAATAAACTGTAACGCTAAAAGTTTACTAACCATAATGCAAAGGATGATAAATTTACCAGGCTAAACTGTAGGCAAATTTTAATGTGGACCATGGTTCATGTAGTAATTAACATGGACCAAGGTAAGAGCTATATCTTTAGTTTCATTTTTCACCTACACTAGTTTTATTATAGTAATGTTGAATATCATTTCATTTTAATTACAATCGTATCTTTCTACCCAGTTTCATTTTATAAACACAATATGTTCATTATAACAACACTAATACATATATGTATGAGTTCAGTTATTCAGTTTCATTTTATACTTACACAATTTCATATTTGAAACCAGCTTTGTTAGTGCGAGTAGTCATGCACTTTTGTCCCTTAAGAGAGGTCGAGAGTTTAAAATCCCCTTTGGCATAGAAAAACTAATATGACTAGCATCGTGTCCCTTAATTAGGCTGGCCCAATGCGAGTTAGGATTAGTCTTAGTATGATATAGGCTTAAATGTGTCTCTTATAATTAGGACTTATTTAGGACACCTCGTGGTCTAATCAAAATTCTACTACAGGTTCATTTGACAATATACATATCTATATGAGATTTGCTATTCAGTTTAATTTTATACATACAATAGATTCTTCAGTATAGCAACACTAATGGGGTGTTTGGTATTATGAAATTGTAATTCCATTCCTACCAAACTCCATGGTTTAGTGGGAGGGAATTGCAATTCCTAAGATCTCCCCTAAGAATTATAATTACATGATAAATGACTATTTTACCCTTCTTATTACTATATTATTATTATACAATGGTTCCCAATCATTATATTCATGTCTACCAAACAATGTAATTTAAATTCTCACTTTACTCTTTTCTCACTGTATTACAATTCTTTTTTTCCTTAATTCCCTCCTCCCAACCAAACGCCCTGTAAAGTAACATTTTAATCTTATTACAATTTCATTTGACAATCTAACGATTGCTAAAGTGTACCTACCTACAGGCCTCTGGCAATTCATCTGGACTGGGAGGATAAGGAGCCATGCTGCAGTAAGTTGTGTCCCTCCAGTTAGCGGAGCCTGCACTATACAAATCAAAGTTGCTGTTATAAACAACTCTCTTCGAACTGTCTCGCGTGTACCATTGTTTCTTCACCTCACTATCTTGTTCATAGAATCTCCTGGTACCACCCAACATCTCTTCCAGGATACTGGCAGGAATCCCATGATTGACCACCTGGAAAAACCCCCACACCTCCGATGCACCTCGGACCTTGTCGACCACCTCCCTACGTTGCACTGAACCATCCCCACTACTGTTGTATATGCCCTGCAGGTCTATCACCGGAATACTGAAACGGCCGGTTTTGTCTGATGATGCCTGAACAAAGGGATCCGGCGGAGTGTAAAACATCCGAGGAACTTTGGTGATTCCGGCGTCGACTAGACCCTTAACGCCGGCTTTCGTCTCGTCGAATGTTTTGATTTCGGTTGTTCTGTCATAGGTTCCATCATCTGTAACCTTAGTAGCACCCATTTTTGTGTGAAGAAAAGACTTGCAGAAGAAAGGGGAAGAAATTTAGAGAAAGACCAGAGGAAGAAAACTTAATAATTTGTATTTATTTCATCCATAACATTATCTAAGCATTCTCTGGAAATTTAAAGAAAATTAAAGCAAAAATAATACTCCGCTAGCTTCTCTTCCGAATCACAAGCCACGTGCTATCTCCTCTGTTGATGATGTCACTGAGCTGGACGAAAAATGTTACATATATTCTTATATTGTATATTCCTAACTTCGTATTTTTATACACACTAAATTTTGATGTAGACACTTGTATTAGAACTTACATGATAAAAGATTAACTTATCAAAATTCGTCACATTATGAAATAAAATTTTAAAAGTAAGACTAGAGAGTATATGTAAAAAAAAAAAAAAAAAAAAAAAAAAAGCGACCCCAATTGTGGTAGGATGGTGACAAAGAAGTCATAGATATGATCACATGGAAGAGAATCAGAGATAGGCCGGCATGTTTGAATCACAACGTTTTGAATAATATTTTTAATGGTTTGATCAAAGTTTTTTAAAAAGGTTAATTTGGGTATTAGGTAGAGATCCTTTAGAAAATTAACATTTTTAAATATTTTTTAATCACAACTCTCATTTTTTTAAAGCTAATGGGAGTAGCTTAATTTGCGTGTATGCCAGCTTTTCCCATTTTTTCCTTCCCCTCTCCCTGGACCCTGCGGTGCGCACACAACCATTTTTCCTATTCGAATTATTATTACGGAGTATTATTACATACAACCATTTTTCCTATTTCAATTATTATTACCAAGTATTTTTTTATTATTATTATTATTATTATTATTATTATTATTATTATTCCGCATACGTTTTCCCATTCCCATCCCCCTGCGCATGCAACATTTCCCTATTAGTATTATCTTTGATGTAGAAATGTATAAATACTATATGAGATATTATAATTTTGTGTATATATTGTTTATAGTCAAATTATGCTCAAACATGAACTAAAATAGTTGTAATTTATTTAGTAATGTATTATTATTATTATTATTATTATTATTATTATTATTATTATTATTATTATTATTATTATTATTTTCATTTAGTATTATTTTATTTTGTAATCAAACTATGTACTAAAATAATTAAAAATAATTTTAATTTATTTAGTAATATGTGTTTATTGACTTTTGTTGCCTTTTACACCATTACTATTAGTATATTAATTTTTTTTATTGAAAAATAAAAATTAAATTTGTAAAATGAAATCAGAAAACTGGAAAAATTGATAATGAAAATTGGAAAACTGCCCAAATGAAAAAATTAGAAAAGGAAAAATAGATAAATGAAATAAACAACTCTGTAATGTTCTAGAGTGCATGGTAAAGTTGGTGATAATTACGATAATGTCACATTATTATTATTATTATTTTAAATTGATATGATTCTTTTGATTTTTTCAAATATAAAGATGAGATTGGTTACACTTTTAGTTTTCTCATAAAGACTTCTTCTCAATTGATGTAATACATACATACATACATATATAGGGTCGCGTTCAAGTGTGAATCGACATTAACATGCGAACCTGCAAACTACTGAAGGATTGTACTGCAATTACTATATTAATGCACCACATCGGACATGATTGCACCGCAACCACCAGAGGTTGCACTACAAGGTCCTCCAGGCATATCTGGGAGTCGTTGCAGTGCATTCATGTAGTAGTTGCGGTGTAGTCCTTTAGTAATTCACATGTTAACACTAATTTGTGTTTGAACGCTTATATATATATATATATATATATATATATATATATATATATATATATATATATATATATATATATATATATATATATATATATAGGGATCAAGTGCATTGTGGCTTCCCGTGCGGATGTGCAGTGGATTAATGTGCGTGAGGTTTATACTTAATGTGCGTTAGATTTATACTCAATGTGCTTGAGATTTGTACTTAATGTGCGTCATGTTAATATGCGTGAGTTTTGTACTTAGTGTGCCTGAGTATTGTGTTTAATGTGCGTGAGATTTGTTCTTAATATGCGTGCGTATTTCAGAATTACGAGCTCAGAAGGAAGCAGAACAGAAACTCACGCACATTAACACCCAAGCTTCTTGTTACTTCTTCCTTCAATTTGGCCATGGATTCTGGATTATCAGCTACCTTCAGTGCAGTTGAGTGTTTATATAAATGACGCACGCACAGTAAAACTTGCACAGCAGTTAAGTGTGGGTTTCTGTTGTATTATTCCCATAATTCTTAACCACCATAACCCGCCTCCGCATCATCATCATTAGGGAGGGGGCAAATGGCTACTGGGGATGGGGAAGAAGCTCATCATCATTAGGGAGGGGGCAAATGGCTACTGGGGATGGGGAAGAAGCTGACATCAATATTTTCTACTGCATTTTACACATTCACGCACATTAAGTACAAATCTCAGGCACATTAAGCACAACACTCACGCACATACAAATATTAGGCACATTAAGCACAACACTCACACACATTAAATACAAATTACACGCACATTAATTCACCGCACATCCGCACGGGAACCTTTCACTATATCACTATATATATATAAGTCATGCAAATATATATTCATTGCATGCAATTGTGGCATAGAGATCACGCAGATCAAGAATGAATCGCAAGTTCTGCCAGCAATCGGCTGATCTAAAAATTCTTTCTTATTTAAAGACAACCTTTAATGTTACCAAGCTTTTCTTGATATTTAAACTTCTACTACTATATAATAAAGCAATGATACTTTTTTCAACTAAAATAATTAAATTTAATATCAAGCTTAAAATAATATTTAGGAATAAGGGTCAAATAGGCCATCGAACTGCACACGATAAAACAATTAGACCACTGAACCTAAAAAACCAACAATTAGGTCCTTAAACTAATCAATTTCAAACAATTCTTCCAATTGGAAGGTTTCCAACAGGTCAACAGGTCATCTCCCAAATTAATTATTTTTTTAAAAAATAAATTTAAAAAATTAATTAGTTTTAAATTAAACTAAAAAAAAAAAAAAAAAAAAAAAAAAAAAAAAAAAAAAACTGGAATCCAGCCGGAACCATTTTTTTTTTTAATTTAAAACTAATTAATTTTTAAAATTTAAAATTTAAAAAATAATTAATTTGGAAGGATGACCTGTTGACCTGTTTGAAACCTTTAAATTGGAAAAATTGTTTGAAATTGATTAGTTTAGGGATCTAATTGTTGGTTTTTTAAGTTCAGTGGCCTAATTGTTTTATCGGGTGCAGTTCGATGGCCTATTTGACCCTTATTCCTAATATTTATAACATCTCAACACTCAAAATATTATTTAAACTTAATTATGTTTGAAATCCTCAAACACACCTTCACTATATAAATCCCCAACTGAAACCAATATTTCATTTGTTTTGCTTCTTTTTATAAAAATCAAATGCTGTCTCAATATAAATTCCGTATAATGCACGAGAATTAGACAGCAATGGCAATTGGCAAGAGCTGTTAAGCAGATGGCTATGAATCAAGTTACCTCTAAAGGTTAATTAATTCGCACAAGAGCGTCAATTCGACATTGCCGATTCAAGTAAAAATTACTACAAGTAACTTTCAAAATTTAGGATTCCATCCAAATAAGATTAAAGTTCAACTAGAACAGAGATTAAATCAAAAGATCAGGATGTTATAAGGCCACACCAGGCCACCGGAAAACTAACAACAATCGAGTTTGTAAACGATGTGCGTCAAAACTGAAACCGTGTCACCCCTTCTCAATTGGTTTTTGTTTTGGCAGCCTTCTTTGTTTGTCTCCTAGGCATTGAATTCTTCATGCCAACGAAAAAGAGCAACGCTCCAATTAGTTGCAAACCCTGCGGGAACAACAAAGGTGTATCCAAGTTAGTTGATAATAACCAATAAATCAACAAGTTGATGATAATAGTACTTTGGCTTACCTGTGTAAATTTAACAAAAAGTTGAGCAAATTCCATTTTGTCAGCATCATAGTTGTAGAAATCATACAGGATTGGGGTAACAATCGCCTGATGCAAAATCTGAAACAAGAAATAATAAAAAAAAAATTGAAACAAAAATACAAAAAGGTAAAAATAGTTTATATTTAATATAATACAAATATACAATATAACAAGCCAAAACCTTCCTTTTCAGGGAATTAGAACATCACAATCACTAATGCACGTACCAGTATATAAGCACCAAGAGAGCAGCCAAAGACAAATAGAAAGCTTCCAAGCCCTCTGATAATGATAGTACCCAGAACTAGATGCTTCATCTGCATGGAGTGTAAATAATGTTAGTAATGCATAAAATCTTGAACTAATATCCTAAATGAAAATAATTCAGCATGGAATCTCAATTCTTATTACCTCAATATGAGGAACTTGAATGCCAGTGTGATTTGAAACATGATTTGAGAAAACATTGAACTTGGGTTTCAATGCATTGGCTGCTGCCCCGCCATCAACACCAAATTCATTAAACCTACATGCAAGAAATAATTAGATGAGCTGATGAGTTCTCAATTCCATTGAGCAAAAATTCACGAAAAAGATGATGCAGTGCAGTTATAAGATATCATAAATTCATAAAATGGAAGGGGGATATCTTCACAATAGAATTAAAAATAAATTTTTTAAAAAGAAAAGGAAAATGGAAAGTAAAGCAAATAGCTAAAGCCATCATGTGTAGTTGGAGGTTGAGCTCAATAGTCCATTGGTCTCCTCCAACTCTCCAAGGAAATTAAAGATTTTTCCACATGCAATACCTCCAACTAATGAACAACCGGTGCACTACTTTTCCTTCATACTAAGCCACACATATTTGTGAATAGAAACCAATATACTGTAACTAATGATGCAATGCAAAACTGACCACACTTGGTAATTGTTCACAAGCAACAGCAGACAATATTGCAAAAGTCATTGCACATTAGAAACACATCCATTTTCTTGATGCACAAAAGCTGTAGCTTTGCTTTTTTTACTAGTTTTCTTGCTCAATAGGAGCATTCTAGGCTTCTAGCCTATTTTATTTATAGAGTGGAGTAGCTCAACTGTTGGGGAGAGGAAGGACCGAATATTAGTCAACTATCTTCCTGAAAGGTGGAAAATATTGAATGGCCAATCATTATAGTTTAATAGTTTTCCAACTTGTTGCACTTTAGAGAAAACTAGATTGAGCCAAACACACCATTTCTGAATCCTTCTAAATAGTAAATACAACAAAAATACCTTAAGCTATAAATTGTATCATCCATATAGGCATAGAGTTAAAAGAAAAATAAGTAGCTATGCCCAGTCGTAATTTGTTCCAACAATACAAAATAAGTAGCACAAACTATCATCCCACAGAATACCATTCCTGTATTGAATAATCAGAAACAATTAAAAGGAATTAACATTTATAGACTTGAAAAAGTAAATGGCATTAAATGCTCCCAAGTCTGTAATCCAATGACAATGTCCACCCAATTATACATAATACAACATTAATCACCACACTCAATCAGTAACTTGCAAATATCTAATACTTGAGCATACATTACTTGATCTGACGTCATAAGAGAAAATAATAATACTAATAATAATTAACCCGTAAAATCCAACGCCCTGTCATTAAGTGAATCTTATAAAAAATACGGCAGAAAGCTAACAGGGCTCACAATTATTATGCTATATATTACTCCGTATTATTCTTATAGTGGCCAATTGATCATGATACATCAGATGCACATAACAAAAGCGTAGAACATAAAAATTTTCTAGGATCAAATAAACCAAATCTTACTCCAAACCAAGCAACATAACAAAAATTTCGAAAGTTCAAAAATGTAAAGATCTTAAGGATCTTATTAAACAATACAGTACACACACTTGCAGTGTACAATATGAGTACCGAAACCAAGCAGATCTAAAGGAGAAGAGCACTAGCAGAGCTTACTCTTGGTACGCAGAGAGAATGAAGACCGAGACGAAGAGGAGTCTCCCGAGGAAGGACAGGAACGCCATTGCAGTGCGGAAGTCTCAAATCTCTCTCTCTCTAAGATTTTCTCTCTCTAGGTAAACGGAGACAGAGATTTAAGACGGGAGAGAGGAGGGACGAAGATCGCATCGGGGATACTTCCAGATTTTCTTAAAATTCGAACTGCTTCGGGTTAGTTTTGTCATTTTCCCTTTTATGCCGCGCTATATTTTATCGTCCAGTTGGACGGCAAACGCATGAGATGAATTGAATATTGAATGTGTGTTTGGTTCGCATATGTGAATAGGAATCAGAATGAAAATTAAATATTTGATAATAGTAATGAGTTTTAGTAAAAATATTTTGCATGTTTGGTAATAGGGTATAATTGGAATGATTAGTAATATTTATGTTTAGTTATGTATGACTCTATAATGCGAATAAATATTTTAAAAATATAAAAATAAAAAATCAATACAATTAATTCTAATATAATAACATCTAAAACATTAATATAAACAAAAATTTCAAAACAAAAATCTAAAGTACTCATCCAAACTTAAAATTTAGATTAACAATAAGATAGAATGATGCCACTTTTTTAATTAGGAAATAAAATTTTTAATTTAATGTGTAATCAACATCTATAGTTGAGTTTTTAAAAAATTGTCAAAAACCTATGAACAAAACACACCCTAAAATTATCTGTAATTTACTAATTTGTATTCCATTCTTGATGAGTAGTTTTTATAGACACTTTATTAATTAAGTTTTCCTACAAAAATTAATTCTTTATTTAGTTATTACACACTCTTTACTAATTTATAGACAACTACTAAAAATTAAAACAAAATTTTAAACTTATAAATAATGCACGTTAGAGATTAAAGATTATATAGTAATTTTATTATAAAACACATGTAGATTAAATTGTTAATTTGGTTTTTTTTTTTTTTTCTTTTGCCTCAATGGGTCATTTTTGCTTTGACCATAATAAATATTTTCCTTTTGACAATTACAAATTGAAAATTTATAAAATAATTTCTGAAAATCATGATTCAAATCTTCAAAATGACCCTTAATATAATTTAATAGTTATATTCAAATATTCAATTTGGTAATGTTGTATTTTTTAATAAATTAAATTAATAGTAGATCTCATTAATTGCAACTACTCAGTACTTCCCATTTTATAAGATCTATTAAACAATTATTGATCAATCCAGTTCTAAAGCAATATCTTAATTATAATTACTTTCAAAATTGCTCTATGTATATATTGAATAGAATTAATACTGCAGTTTATTAAATATATAAAATCTAAAAACATAATAAGCTTCAATGAAGGTTATATCCTTGATTTTTGTCTCTTTTTTAACTGCTGATTTTCTTATACATTGTGTTATTAGTGTTGTACATTATATTTTTTATTGTAAAAAATGCCCAAACATATTCTGTTAGTGTTAAATAGACTTAACTGCCGTTAATTATTATCCTAGGTGCCCGCTAACCCTCTCTGATCTACAGAAACCATGTCTGTTCCGCCACCCACCAAAATGGCTCAACCCTTCCTCCACGTGTTCAAGAAACATCCCTCTTTCTTCCTCAGAGAGAAGATCAAGACCGCCCGATTAGCCCTCACCGTTGTCACTCCGGCTCAACTCTAAGTTCTGTTGCTAATCTGCGTGTTTTTGTTGCGTCAACGATTTGATAGATCCTCCCTGGATGTTGATAATGAATGTGCTAAAATAGATCCACACATTTCATTTTATTGACAAATATAAATGTACGTGTTCTTCTTCATGTAGTAGTAGTAAAGAGAAAACATCATTTCCTTCACTGAAAGTGGTACTGGAAAGGACACCACTGCACTGTGTTAGAGGAATACAAGATTTCAAATCCAAGCCATTTTTGTCTGTTTATTTCTGATTCTTTGCTTTGCAATCAAACACGCCAACAACCCTTTGGTCGTTGGTTGGATATATTCGAATTTCCCAAGTACAGTGATACCCGATTACCTTTACACCAATGTGGTTTCTTCATAAAATACATCATTTTACATGTAACAAAAATGGTATTCTCAATCAAAACAACTACTATTACTTATTTTTAGATGTATCAATTCAACAAATAACAAAGCCTATAAATTACACTCTAATAGTTACAACATTTGCCACTTTCATTTTGAAATCTTATAAGTCCAGTAAGCAACATACTTTTATGTGAGATTGGAAATAATGGAAGATACATGTTAACTAAATAACACAATGAAAAAATAGATGTAATATAATGTTGAGTACCCTTACTTAAAATTACAGTTGTATATATTCATCATGAATTTGTATTTTTTGTGAAAACTTCAAATACATCAACAAAATAAACTGTACGGGAATATTTATGAACTTCGTTAACTAAGGAAAAAAAAAACTTTACAAATTCATTTTATCTATTTCAAAATGATTTACTAACCAAATTTAAAGATTAGGCACAAGCTTTCGCGCAAAGCGCGTTGAAAAAACTAGTTATATAATAATAATCAATTGATATATCAAAAATCACATCGTAATTAAATTGAGAGATACATCATTATATGTATGGCCGTATAGGACAAAATATGATGGGTAAAATAAAAATAGTTTTATTTTAAACTCAATAATGTAAAAAGTATACAAAAATGATATCGTAAAATTTTACAATAATTATATCTTTTTTTGATTAAACCGCAAGGTGTCATGAGCAGGCCAATGCTAGCCATATTGATTTGTTCATACAAAATGAGGTCCAAACTCTCGACCTCTCTTACGGGACAATAATGCACGGCCACTCACGCCAACTAAGCTGGTTGTATAGTTACATCATATAGTACTTCTAGAACATTTACTTTTTTTTTGAACTTTTGCACACTAGTATTTTGAACCTTTATTTGTATATCTATTAATGGACTTTGATGATTTTATCTAATTAAGTCATCTGTTAAGATAACTTGGTATTTTCACTATATTAATATTAATTGTAGTCATCGATTATAGTGATTTTATCCAATTTAATCATCAACTATAATATTTTTTTTCTTGATTTAATAATTTATTCTAATAATTGAAGATTTAATTCGGTAAAATTATCAAATTTTAGAACCTAATTAAACACAAGAAAAATATGATTTGGGTAAGAGCATAAATTCCCACGAAAATTATGGATCATAATTAAAATTTCACCATTCGTGGGTTTTGGAGGCAAAAGAATGGCGCGGTACACAGTAAAAATGCTATCGCAACAGCTCCCTAGGTCACAAGTGCACAAACAACGACGTCGTTCAATGTAAAAAGCCGCGAAACTTTAACCACGCCAAAACTCATTTCGCGCCAAATTAGTTTAGAAATCCCCCCATTTACCCCTTCTTCCCTCATTTTCTCTCTGTATACATATATACACTTTCTCACTAAAGATTTCTGGTAGTCTTTGGGGTTTTTGTTTTCTTGTTGTTTATTCCTTCAAAAGTTCCTCTCTTTCTTTGAAGGGTTTCTTTTCTTTTCCAATTGTGCGGCCATGGAAACCGATATGGAAACGGAAACGGCGACTCATCATGAACCAGAAAGCGAGAAGGAAATCAATTTGATCCGATCAGTCGTGGGTTCCCGGGTTTCGGAACCCGACATTCAGAAAGCCCTCTCTTGCTGCAACAACAGCGCCGCCGCCGCCATAAACCACATTCTCGACAACCCTTTGCCTCCGGACGTCAAAAAGACGGTTACTTCCACCGGGGCCCGGATTTCCGGCCCGGTGAAACAGGAAATAGGCGAAGAGTCGAAAGGATCGGACTATCCAGAGAAGGGCGATAAGAATGAGCCTATCTGGATGAACCATTACTACAAGTGGCTCTCTGAAGAGGAGGCAGAGAAGATGAAACAGGAAGGCGGCGAGTTGAAGATTTCGAAAGTTAAGACGGAGCCTGATGTTGGAGATGATAGTAAGGCTATAGTGATATCTGAACCTGATATCAAACATAGCGTGAAAGCTGAGCCAATTTCAAGTGTTGTGAACATGGCAGTTGTGAAAGAAGAGAAAGGAGAGGTGCTCTCTGTACAGCCATTGTCTGCAAGGCCCGTGTCGGGGGAATATGTGGAGAGATTCATGTCTGGGCGTCCAGGTGGGAAGACTGAGAAGAAAGTGGATATGACTCTTAGTACTGTTGTGATTGAGGATGGGGATTTCCCTGAAGAGGCTGATTGGATGTTGGTTGGGAGGAATGTTGTGAATGGGCTTTCGACTACGAAAGGGAGGACGATTGAGAACAATGAGATTGTTCACTTTGCTTTTCCTAAGGCTGGTTCAAGTAGGTATTCAAAAGTTGCTTCATCTATTGTCAGGTTCTCCACCAAACGATTTGGAGAGGTAATCTTTATTGTAATCTTTGTTTCAGAATTGAGATTGTGGCATTTGTTATTGTTTTTGGTTTGGAGATTTAATTGTAATTGGTTCTGTAGATTGGCCGCCTTCCAATGGAATGGGGGAACTGCCTTATTCCACTTGTGAATTCCAAAAAGGTAAAGGTTTTAGGTAGATGTGTGGCGGCACCTGCGAATCTTCATCTGATGCAAGAAATCATGTTATATGTCAGGTAACTTTGTCTGGTTCTGATTTTGTTCTGTCTAGAATGAGCCTATGGATTCTTGTTAAGATGGTTCTTGGGTTGCAGTTTCTACATTCATAGCTCAGTGTTTACGAATGGCGATAAGTCATCTTGGAGGATAGATTCCCCTTCAGAAATTGAAGCCACAATATATCCACTTCTAACTCTGTTCAAGTTACTGAAAATCAATCCTTTTCAGAAGGTATACCATACCACAAATCATGTTAGTCTAATAAAAGTTACTCTTTTTTTTTTCTTCAAAGTCTTGGAGTTGTAACTAATGTTATCTGTGTTACTGTCTACAGGCTGAGTTTAAACCAGATGATTTTGATTCTCGCAAACGCCCACTGGACTTAGAAGTATTATGAATTTTGCTCTTTTTGTGGTTTTCTACATTTATACTTGTAATTTATCAATGTAAGGTCAACTGAGGTTTTGAATATTGATATAGGGTGCTTCAGTAGAAGCTGTGGCAAAACGGATAAAGGGTTGCATTGAGCAGAACAAAACTGAAGAGGTTTTATCAGAATCAACTTTAAACAAACTTGTTGGTGCTGCAGAGATGTATGATCTCAAGGTATAATGCACATACATGATTTTGGTTTTTTTTTTTAATGTTATTTTGCCTTTCTGCTGACCTTTCTTGATTTATATGCATTTTGTAGGAGGTAGAGCCACCTGAAACACTTGTGTGTAGCCTAAGGCCCTACCAGAAGCAGGCTCTTTACTGGATGTCAGAATTGGAGAAGGGAACTGAAGCTGAGCAAACAGCCAAAGTTTTGCATCCATGTTGGGCAGCATATCGAATTTGTGATGAGTATGCACTTTTCTTGGGATATAAAATAAGATGTCAAAACAGTAAAAAAAACTACCTTGTACTGAATATTAAGAGTGTCACCTAAATTTGTAAAATATTTGCCCAAGTGCTCTATTAATTTGGGAATTTGCTGACCAATCTTTCTCAACAGGAGGGGTCCTGCAATTTATGTGAACATTTTCTCGGGTGAAGCAACTGCAGAATTTCCTTCTGCATTGGAAACAGCAAGAGGGGGAGTGAGTTTTATTTTGTTACCTCTTTTTTTTGTTTTTTTGTTTTTTTTTTCTTTAACTCCAAATTAATATCTTGATGTCCTGGTTTTTGTTGTTGTTGCATGTATTAATTTCTCATCAAAATGTGGTTTCTGCAGATCTTAGCAGATGCTATGGGCCTGGGGAAAACTGTAATGACAATTGCTCTAATACTTGCGAGGCCAGGCAAGGGTATCCCTGATAATCAAGAACTTGAGCATTCTAGGAACAGAAGGATTAAAGGTGGCACTCTCATTGTATGTCCTATGGCATTACTTGGTCAATGGAAGGTGAGTTTATTAGTCTGTAGCCCCTTTCTTGCTTAATGTCAATATGAAAATGTGACTGATATTGATTATAATTCTCATAACAGAATGAACTTGAAGCCCATTCAAAGCCAGAGAGCATTTCGGTTTTTGTTCATTATGGTGGGGAAAGAAGTAATGACCCCAGAGCGATAGCAGAACCAGATGTGGTCTTGACAACCTATGGTCTTCTAACTGCTTCATATAAGGCTGTAAGTGATCCAATCTTTTTCAGATCAGTATCAATGTTTTTCCCATGAGCTTGAAAGTTTATTTATTCGGTTTATTTGGTTCTATGCCCATTAACCAGTTTTTAACTGTGATTTAGGATGCGGAGAGTAGCATATTCCATAAAGTTGATTGGCATCGAGTCGTACTGGATGAAGCACACACCATAAAGAACTGGAGAACTATGAGTGCTAAGGCTGCATTCACATTGTCTGCACATTGCAGGTGGTGTCTCACTGGGACTCCACTTCAGGTATGTTTCCTCATCTAAGTGCCCCATTTTTCACATTTCCTAAAAAAAATGAGGCTTTCATAAGACCGAGAAATGTAATACTTTTTAGATTGTTCTAGAAATCTGGTTTATGTTAATGATGTCCTCACTAATTGCTGCAGAATAATGTGCAAGATCTTTACAGCCTTATGTGTTTCTTGCATGTTGAGCCATGGTGCAATTGGGCATGGTATGCCTTATATGTTACTAACTGTATATATACATGCTAATAAGTTTAACTGAACTAGATTACTTAAATGTTTGCTATCTTTTAGGTGGAATAAGTTAATACAGAGACCTTATGAGAATGGTGATCTGAGAGCCTTGAAATTGATCAAGGCAATTCTGAGGCCATTAATGCTTAGGAGAACAAAGGAAACAAAGGACAAGGAAGGGAGGTAATTCATTGTCTTTTTTCTCATTTTCTTTAATACTCAAAGTTTACTTGAGAGGCAAAGCCTTATCTGGCAGCATATTGATGTCTTGTTCCTTTGAATTAGGCCAATTCTTGTCCTGCCACCAACTGACATCCAAGTCATTGAGTGTGAACAGTCGGAAGCAGAGCGCGATTTCTATGATGCCCTCTACCAGAAATCTAAAGTAAGATTTGCAGCCCCAGCAAGTTTGTTTGGTTTCCCATTTTCTCATGCTCTTTAAATACCCTCCAAGAAAGCTCTGATTTTTTTGTTAGAATTAACAACATTTTCAAGGGTTCTTACAGTTTCTTGTTGATGAACCAGGTCCAGTTTGATGAATTTGTAGCACAAGGCAAAGTTCTTCACAACTTTGCAAACATTCTTGAGTTGCTACTCAGACTGAGACAGTGTTGCAACCATCCTTTTCTTGTGATGAGGTGAAATGTCATTAGAACTTTACTGTGCATGTCTCTATGATGAAATGATCTCTAAAACAGTTTATTTCCCCTAAATTTGCAGCCGGGGCGATGTAGACAAATATGCAAACCTTGACAAGCTTGCCCAGAAGTTTCTTGAATTCAACCCTGATTCTGATTCTCAGAACGCGCCTACACGAGCATACATTGAAGAGGTTGTTGAGGAAATTCGTAAGGACAGCGAAAACACAGAGTGTCCCATATGCCTAGAGTCTCCAGATGACCCTGTGTTCACACCTTGTGCACACACAATGTGCAGAGAATGTCTGTTATCAAGCTGGCGAAATCCGTCTTCTGGAATGTGTCCAATCTGTCGTCGGGTGTTAAATAGAAACGAGCTGATCACTAGTCCTAAAGCAACTAAGTTCAGAATTGATGTTAACAAGGACTGGAAGGAGTCTTCGAAGGTGACAAAACTGATGGATTGCTTGCAACGAATACGCAATTCAAAGTCTGGTGAAAAAAGCATTGTTTTTAGCCAGTGGACTTTGTTCCTGGATCTCCTGGAGATCCCTCTCAAAAAAAGTGGCATTGGGTTTTTAAGATTTGATGGAAAGACTCAACAGAAACAAAGAGAAAAGGTTTTGAATGAGTTCAGTGAGACTACTGAGAAAATGGTAAGCACTCAAAAACTATAATCACATGAATATGCCAGAAAGAATGAAAGACTAAAAATTTTCTTGCAGGTTTTGCTTATGTCTCTGAAAGCTGGGGGTGTGGGCTTGAATCTCACAGCAGCCTCCAATGTGTTTCTTATGGTATATGCTTTTAGATTTCTTGATTTCCTGCTTTTCTTCTCACAATGACTCTCAACTCCTGATTCGTTAAACGTATGTATGTATATATGCTATGCAGGATCCATGGTGGAATCCTGCGGTTGAAGAGCAGGCAATCATGAGAATTCATCGGATTGGTCAGAAACGTACAGTTTGTGTTAGAAGATTCATCGTTAAGGAGACGGTGGAAGAAAGGATGCAGCAGGTTCAAGCTAGAAAACAGAAGATGATCGCCGGAGCTCTCACCGACGATGAAGTCCGGTCGGCCAGAATCGAAGAGCTCAAGATGCTTTTCCGATGATTTTTTGATTGGGTATTAGTTCTAGAGAGAGAGAATCATGCTTGCTTTTCCCATTGTATTTTGCGTAGTTCCATTATCCCCTGGAGTTTTTGTAAATTCAAACAAATATTTAACGCTGGGGATTTGATTCTCTATATATCTATGCTCTATTGCTCTTATTGATAGCGGATCATGTAATGTAAATTCGAAAATATGTATATCCGCATGGAATTTTGAAATTTAATTATTTACTACTGAGTACATTTTCATGTACTTTCAAAATGCAAGTAGCTTTAAATTTAATTTTTTATAATTTCTTAATCAGAATTATTTAAGTTATCTAAGTCATATAGTGAGTTAATATCCAAAATCGTCCTCGACTATAGTGGTTTTTCTCAATTTCGTCTTAAACGACTTTGGTGACCTAATATCGTTCCAAACTTTTGTGTTTCGCTCAATTTAGTCCTAGACTTTTGTGTTTTTACTCAATTTAGTCCCTCATTTGTTATTCTGTCCATTTGGTGTTAAATAAATAGACAATTCAGTAATTTTAATATTGGCATCTCTTTACTCATAGACATGTGAACTGCGAAATCCCTTTTTTTTACGAATTACTCCCAGAATTACTTCTAAAACTGCGAATATAAAATTTGATTTGCAGGTCCGGGAGTAATTCTGGGTGTAATTCGTACAAGAAAGAGGAATTTCGCACTTCATAAGTTGAAAGTAAAGAGAGATCAATATTGACATTACTGAATTGTCCCTTAATTTAACACCAATTTGACGGAATAACAAATGGAGGACTAAATTGAGCGAAACACAAAAGTCTGGGACGATATTAGGTCACCAAAGTCGTTTAGGACGAAATTGAGAAAAATCACTATAGTCGAGGACGATTTTGGGTATTAACTCTCATATAGTAGTACCATAAGTATTGTTGATTGGTTTCAAAAAATAAGTATTGTTGATAGGTTTCAAAAAATAAGTATTGTTGATTTGGTTGCCAAATTGATCACTTTTGGACCTTTTGGTGCTTTAATCCAGAAATATAGTCAAATATATGTGTACAATGACTAGTCAAAAAGTAAGGCTGAAAACCTAAACAACAACAAAACTTTCTCCCTATTGCTCCATGACATTATTTGTTAAAAAGTTTTTTTGAAGAGACTTTGTGGGGGCAGTAGTCCAGTAGATCAGAGCACCATCGAAAGCAAGCACAGGCGATTCCAATTTCCAAACAAAAACTTGCATGCATACGGAGGGATAATTGTTTACACGGTGTTTGGTTAGATATAGTTGTAATTTCATTCTTTACAACATAATTTCTTGGTATTCTAAATTATTGTGTTTGGTTGAAGCAAATTATAATTACATCGAATTACAATTCTCTCTATTTGAGGAATTCCAATTCATACGTTCTCCTATGGGAATACTAATTCAGTGCTACCTTAGAAAGAGAAAAATACGAAAATGACTAAATTACCCCTGATTATTATTATTATGGAAAAATGACATCTTTGGTCCTTGAGTTATACTTATGTTATGACTCCGTCTCTGAGTTATACTCAAGTTCTAACTCCGTCCCTGAGTTATGATCTTATCTATTTTAGTCCCTTAGTTATGAACAAAGTGGGGCATTTGGTCTCCGACCGTTAAAACTAACAGAAAAATTTAAAAATATTTAAAATTTGAGGGGTAAAGTAGGAAATTCACATTTTATTCCACTTCTTATATCAAAACCACTTTCACAACATTATTTTTCACTTCTTAGCCTCTTATTTCAAGATTGTTCAATTTTAAAAACATTTCAATAACTTTAGTATGACTTGTTAGGAATCTGGCTCTCGTATAACAAACTTAACTTAGCACAACAAAGAAACGCTTGATCATTGTCTTCATACGTGTGAAACACACTATCCTATCAATTTTCAATTTTCTTTACAAAGCAACAAAGGTAATCAAACCAGAACTTTTGAAATACAAAATGATGTCAAATTTCTCAATTTGCTTTTATGAGAAATTCGATCACTAACGGAATAACTTGAGATTTTTAGTATGTAAAAAATTTTCATATGCAGTAGTTTAGTCAATAATCGTTTTTAGAAGTAACAAAAGTTTTTAGAATTTTCATAACTGAATCTTAGGTTCCTTATTCATTACTCTGATTTTTAAGAAGACAGATGAGGTGATGGATATATATAATATAATTTTCATATATTGTTAGGATATACGATTCTTGATTAAGTTACTACAGAGCTTACTAAAGAATTTTACGTATTAATAATCTCAAGTTACTCCCTTGATGAATTTGTCATAAAAATAACTTGAGAAATTTGTTATCTTCTTGTATTTCAAAAGTTATGGTTTGATTACCATTATGTTTAGTAAGGGAAATCATAAACTTTTAAGATGGTGTGTTTTACATGCTTGAAGACAATGACCAAGTGTTCTCTTGTTTGTACTAAGTCACAGGTTCCTTATACGAGACTCAGGTTACTAACAAGTCATACGAAGATTATTGAATTACTTTTGGAATTGAAGAATCTTGAAATAGAATGCTAGGAAGTTTAAAATAATGTTGCAAAAGTGGTTTCAATATAAGAAAGTGAATAAAATGTGAATTTTCTAGTTTACCCCTAAAATTTTAAATATTTTTTAAATTATTCCGTTAGTTTTAACGGTTAGGACCAAATGCACCACTTCGCTTTTGTCTAAGAATGAAGTACAAAGAGTCAATGTCCTCACATTGGAGGGCGAACTTGAGACCTCTCAGATGAGCGGCCAAAGCTATGCCGCTCGACCACAAGACCTTTAGCCGATGAGTTAGTGGTAGTAGTTTTGATTTCAGAAAAAATTACAAATACATAATTAACTATAATCATGTAGTTGTGTTCAAACAAATAACCATGTAGTTATATATCTAACTAATATCAATAAAAATTATTACAAAAAAATAAAATAAACCCATTATTCCCTCCATAGCTACTCTATTATCTTGGTGGTTGAATTGGGGTCTACTCTTCTCTACCCTCTCCAAAATGCCAAGTGTGAGCTGGTTAATTGGAGCGAGTACATCATTCGCATTTAGAGTTACATATATACATGGATGCATAGATATATGCTAATACCAAAAATGGATTGGTTTCTTAGGTTGGGGTAGTTGATGTATAATACTAATATATTTGGTTATAATTATTCCTAAAGGCTGAACCCCAACCCTAAGGGCCCCCCACATCCCGGCCCGACAGAGCATTTGGGAGGATGTAAATCATGGTGACTCAACTGAACATGAACCATAGAGGCTAGACTGCGCACAAGGGAATATATTTGGTTATAATTAATTTATGCATTGTCAACCCAACAAATAAAATTATTTGTGATCAAGCAGCATAGTTGTGACTCTTTCAAATGGAATGTCATAGATTCAAACCCCAGTGCAGGCATTAATTCTTTGTCCTTTTAATGTTTGTTTTAAATTTAGTTATTTGTTACCAATTTCGTCTTGACTTTTAAAATTTGTTACAAATTTCGTCTTGACTTTTAAAATTTTGAGAGATGAAATGTAAATTATTCTGATTATGTTATAATAATTCTTAAATAGGTCTTTGACTTTCAACATTATTCAATTAAATACTTTAATATTCAAATAGGTCTTACCTAATTTAGTTTTCTATCATTGTCACCGTTAAATGTATATCTAATTCAATGATTTTCAAATTGATGCTCGACAAACGATTCTACCATATTGTTCACGAGATAGTAATTTAATTATATTTTAATTATTTAATTATTTAATTTTACAAAAATAATACGAAATTAGCATTGAAGAGAAATTAAATTTGAAACTATTATGTGTATGTGTACTACAATATGTTTGAATTATCATGAAAGAATTTAAAATTTACTCTTTTCATTATATGTGTACTAGAATATGTTTGAATTATCATGAAATTTGGCACTTCCAAGTGAACAAGGTGGATTTAGTCATTATGTTTGTGGCACACACTACAACAAAGATATATCAACATAAGTCTCCTCACCTACACTCACTACCTTGTGGGGTTAGGTACCTTAGCTAAACAGCCCAATTTTTTTTTTTTTTCTTTTTCGTTTCTTTTTGGATGATTTTAGCGATACAATTATAAAATTTCCATAAATATATAAATATATTTCCAACTGATTTTTTCAAAATGAAACTTGAATGCCTTTTTTTTTTTTTTTTTTTCTTTTTTCTTTTGTACTACAACCTAATTTAACCGCGGTATCTACTCAACATAATTATGTCAAAATTTTTGATAGGGATGAGACTCAAACTTGTAACTTTCCGTTTAGAATGGTAACACTGAACCCCTAACTTTTAAATACCTCCTTCTAACAATTGTTTGATCTAACATCAACATTTTCCTTCATAATTCTAAGGATGTAAATGAATTACTTATAAGCACTCAAACTTGATTCAACGAATAATTGTATCCGATTTGATCATTGTTGAGCTGAGCTAAGGTTTGAGTAATTCGATTAACTAGGATTGTGTGTCGGTTCAATTTGAGTGATACTTGAATTTTACTTTGGGTATATGAAAATTTTGGATGATATTTTTGACACTCGATATCCGAACCAAATTCATTTCGAATATGTTTAGTTCGGGTGAATTTATTTCGCGTTAATTTAGATATACTAGAAATTCCATTTTTATCAATTTTTCAGTTTTAAAATAATTTTTTTACATTATTTGTGTAAAATTAGAAAGAAAAAATATTGAGTGTACTCAAACCAAACCCGAATAACTCGAGTTGAAGTTAAGTCAAGTTTAAATTTTGATTGTTTTGTTTTAATCAAATTTTAATTTTTTACTATTTAAATTTAACTCGACTCAATTAAAAAAAAAGATTTTAATTGGTCACCTTAATTTTGTGGGCTTATGCATTTAATAACTACAAATATTAACTTCCTCAAAAAAAAAATATACAAATATTAACTCTCAAATCTCAATGGCACATTACAATTTGGTGTGCTATTAAAAGTTCGGTAAGTGGAGAACATAATGAGGACTAATGAATTCTCCCCTCTTTAAAGATGAACATGCCTTCATAAATGCATGGTTGGAGTCTGAACAGAGCCTGGCTTAACTATTTGTTTTCTTGTTGGGTTTTTTGAATTTTCACTCCCCCTTCTATTTTTTACTGCTTTCCCACTTCTGAGGTAGTGGTAAAAATTCTGACAGTGATGATGGCAATTGCAATGCCCAGAAGTCAAAGTTTTTAACTAAAGAAGCAAATCAAAACTGGAAGAGAGTACACAACTTTTTGTTGCTTGTCAAATTCAACCTAAGGTCAACATTTTTGACTTGTGGATACTCGTCAAATTTAAATAAGTTTCAAAAAATATTACTTCTTGGCAAATTGAATTCAAATGTATAATAATATATATTTTTTGTCTTATTTATCTTTCATATTTATCATGGCATCATGCAATACAAATTTGAACACTTTTAGAAGATTCACATTATTTTTTTCCATAAGATTTGAACTTGCACACTATTTTATTTTTTGGTGTAAATTACACTGTGTTCTGAGTCTTTTTCTATCCGTTTAGCGGTCCAGGTCCACCTAATTCGCTCCGAGAGGCACATAAGCTGGCTCAAAAGAAATTGTCACTTGTGGGAATCAAACTCGAGTTATTATTTTGAAATTCTCCCCCATAAAAAGAGCTCACTTGAGCTATTCTTTTGGGTTGAACTTGCACACTATAATCGCTAATGAAACATATTATTAACCTTATTATATCTTTTAATCTGAGTGATAAGCGTTTGATCCTAACAGTTGCGATTTGACTAGGAATATATGATTGAATGTGACAAAAATAAAATAAAAACTCTTTTTTTTTTTTTTTTTTTTCTTAAGAAAATCTACAGCATTTGTCTGTAATAAAGTTGATAACTTGATAGAAATGTGGAGACCTTTTTCCAAGGCCCCATTTCAAACTGCCATTGCCCTTTTCAGAAGAATCATTATACAAACAAAATCACATATAAAAAGCCCCAAATTCTTGTTCTTCCACTCAATTTCTTCCATTCTGTTTCCCTCCATTACCATTCTTCTTTAGCTCAGTTGAAACTTGAAACAATCAATTACATCTCCACTGTCTTCTCCCCACGCCTCCCTGAAAAAAATTGCAGTCTTGAGCACTCTCCCCACTTCCAAACCCATGCGCATTTCACTTTTCTGTCTATAAACTCTCCCCACTTTCTTCAGTACAGAATCAATGGGTTCCTTCTTCAAGAATCCTTCAAATACCTTTCTCTCAACTCAGCTTCCCCACCCCAAAATGCTAACTTTCTTGGAAAGTAGCTAGCCAAGTAGCCAGATCTCAAAAAAAAAAAAAAAGCTCCGGGCTTTGAAGGTGAAGCTTTGGGGAAGCAAAGTGGGAAATGGTGGCGGAGCCTTGGCTGTTGAGGATGAGGAATCAGGTGAGTAATAACGTTAAGCATGCTTTGCTACTCGAGAATTCTAAGAAGCAAGAAAAGCAAGTGATAGGGATACTTTCTTTTGAAGTGGCTAACGTAATGTCTAAGGTTGTTCATTTGCACAAATCCTTGAGTGACCCTGAGATAAGCAAGCTCAACAATGAGATCTTGAAGTGTGTGGGGATAAGAACTCTTGTCTCTGGTGATGAAACCAGGCTATTAGAACTGGCTTTTGTAGAGAAACTAGATGATTTGGACAGGGTTGCTAGTGTGGTTTCTAGGTTGGGGAAGAAATGCACAATCCCTGCATTGCAGGGGTTTGAGCATGTGTATGGGGATATCACTTCTGGCCTAATTGATGTTAGGGAATTTGGGTTTCTGGTGAAGGATATGGAGGGGATGGTGAAGAAAATGGAGAGGTATGTGGGGTCCACTGCAAGCTTGTATAGAGAAATGGAGGTTCTGAATGAATTGGAGTTGTGTTTGAGGAAGTTCCAGCAGAATCAACATGAGGAGACTAGGAAAGCTTATGAGCATAAACTGGTTTGGCAGAAACAAGATGTGAGGCATTTGAAAGATGCTTCATTGTGGAATCAGAATTATGATAAGGTTGTTGAAATGCTGGCTAGGACTGTATGTACAGTTTATGCCCGGATCAATACTGTTTTCGGGGTTAGAATCGTTAGGAGGGATTCTCTGAGTGTCTCAAACTCCGGGGCTCATGATTTTGAGGAGAAACATAGTCAGATAGATTTGAAAAGATTGGGTTTGAGCAAGAAGAATCCCAGTAATCATTCAGGGGTTATCGGGAGAACGTTAGAGAGGAGGAGGAGCACGAGCTACTTGGCTCAAAGCGGGTTGCAAAGAAGTGAAGGTGGGTTGTTCAGTGCAGAGGATTTCAATTTCGCGTGTGGGATTGGACCCGGGAGGTTATTTATGGAATGTTTAAGTTTGAGTTCTGCTACAAGGCGGGACGATGATGATGATGATGATGATGATAATGATAATGATAATGATACTGGCACTGACGATAGAACCAGCCAGGTTTCTAGATGTTGCAGTGTTACAAGTGGAACGAGGAGACAAACACCAAATTCGTCCCGTTTCTTTACTAGATCCCTAAGTGGCATTCCTTTCCGGGGTAGTATGAGTAACAACAATGCAAGATTTGGTCCCAAAACTCGGGTATTGTTCTATGCTCCTCCATCAACCGTTGGAGGCTCAGCTCTATCATTGCATTACGCGAATATCATAATCGTCATAGAGAAGCTGCTTTGTTACCCGCATCTCGTTGGTGAGGAAGCTAGGAACGATCTATACCTAATGTTACCCACGAGCATAAGAAAGGCGTTGAAGACTAACTTGAAGTCTTATATGAACGGTTTAGCAATATACGATGCCCCTCTTGCTCATGGTTGGAAAGAAAGGCTCGAAGGAACCCTCGAGTGGCTTTCCCCGTTGGCACACAACATGATTAGGTGGCAAAGCGAGCGTAATTTCGAGCAGCAGCAGCAGGTTGTCACGAGGGCTAACGTTCTTCTGCTCCAAACGCTGTTCTTTTGTGATTGCAAAATGACCGAGGCAGCTATCTGTGAGTTGCTCGTGGGACTGAACTATATATGCTGGTACGAGCACCAGCAAAACGCTTTGTTGGATTGCGCGAGCAGTTTTGATCTCGAGGACTACGTGGAGTGGTGATTGGAGTCGGGGATAACAATCCCGGGGTTGGATATGCTGTGAACATTGGAATCTGTATGATAAATTAGATGATAGTTGAAACACAATGCCATGAAAAGCTTGGAGTTCTGGAGTATATAGTTCCACACTTGCACTTCATGAAGGCAGTGTGGATTATATATACTTTCATGTATGAATTAGTACATTTTCCTTTTATGTGGTTATTAATTATAAAAGAATTACTTGTTAATTTCTCTTCTGTAATTCAGTAAATCTTTTAATCATGTGGATTTCTCATGATACTTAGTTTTTGCTATGTTCTTTTCTGCTTCAATGGAGATTTTGTTAAAAATGGTGTCCTGTAATTGTGTTGAGATTTAAGCATTTTGTGAAAGTGAGCTTTGTCTAAATATAATCACCAAAGGGATCATAAATCATCTGATCTTGTGTGAATTCCTTAAAGCATTTTGCACCGACAAATGGTCAACTTGGGAACAACGGTGCATGTGTTGATGTGTACCGGTTGAACGTGAAAATTGAAATCCTCATTTTTAGTCTCAGTAGCTCAGTTGATCACATGGATAAAGTTTGAAAACAGATCTGGGATCAAGAGCGGAAGGACTCCTTGTGCGCAGTAAGCAAATGCTCTGTCGGGGACCTTTGAAGTTGAGAGAACCAATAACACTTCCACTGAGGCTCAAACTCACAACCTTCTAAATGAAAGTCCAACCCGAGTACCATTAGTAATCATAGAATTGATGCAAATTTATTCACAAACTATTGTCTATTTATAATTTAAATTTAAGGGAACTATTTTTAGCCTCTCAATTATTTTAATTTTTAACTCTTTATTTTTCAAATATTTAGTTCATGAAGCAACAACATTATTAAACTCTATTAAATTTTTACTTAATAATTTCTTATATATATTTTTTCTTTATAACCTTTTTAAATTTTGACATTTCATTTGTAAACTAGTATACTTAATTTTAATAGGTTTGTTTACTCGGGGAGGAGAATAGAGATAATATATCACAATTAAAGAGGAAAAATTTAGAGAAGAAGGTTGTCAATTCTATATTTTGCAAGATGAATTATTAAAATTGAAAAGGCTATAAAGAAAAAAAAATATTAAATATTTATGTATTAAATAAAATTCTAATATGATAGCACACTCGATCTTCAAAAAAAAAAAAAAAATATGATAGCACACTCTCTAGCTTCTAAGATGTATTTTCAGGATAATTTGTTGTACTCTGATCTGTCTCGTCTGACTTTATTTTTTCTTTCATGCAGTAATCTATCTCAGTTTTATTGTTTTCAAAAAAAATAAAATCCTAATATAATTTAATAGTTTTGTTGCTTTGAGAAGTAAAGTTGCAAATTATTTAAAACATGAGAGACTAAAACAAGTAATAAGAAATACATGGGGATTAAAAACACAAAATATCCGGAATTTAATACTATTTTTGATAACTTAAAATTCGATCCTAAATCTGTCATTTCAGTTGCTTCTTAATTCGCTTTTTCTTGTTTTAATTGTCATATTGTCCTCAATTTCTTCTTGCTTTTTTGTATAATCTTCGCTCTTTGTTCTGCATTGATATTCCTCTGGACACCGTTGAAACAATTCGATGAGCTATCGAAGGTTTGTCTCTACATTCTTGATTTTAGGGTAACGTGCTTGCATTTTAAGTTTCGATGTATTTAATTCTACGTTTCTCTCACTGTATGTATTTTGATGCGTATTTGTGATTTACTAAGTGTATTTTGAGCCTGAATTATGCGAAATGATGAATTATTGAGTCAATGTCGGTGACACTATAGATTAGTTTGGCATAAGTATAAAGAAAATGGTGTTAAAGGATTAACCGCAAAGCCGGAAATGGTAAATGGAAGATGTAGTTGACGGAAGTTAGGGAATTCTTCTCTTCGAAGAAACAAGTTTGTGAAATTTTCCAGTGGAATGGTTTTTATGACTTCTGGAATTGACTGGAAATGTCTTGATATCTACTGTTCTGTCATTAGGCAATGAGCTTGCAGTTGTGACTGATCTTTTTCTTCAGAAAACCATGTTTGAATGGAAGTTACTTAGAAAAGCTGAAAAGGTATTGCTCAAATTTGGTTATATGAAAGCTCAAAACATAAGTGAAATGGAAAGCTTATCCACTCTTGAATGATCTGCTTAGATGATGAGGTGGAGCAAAATATGAAGTGTAAACTATGCATTTCAGAACATAGTACTTCTTACTTGAACTGAGCTTCTACCTTCATTGGTTAACATCTCTTTGCATGGTTTAGTGTTGTGTCATTTCATGGTGTCTGAAAATTTTGAAATTATAAATTATCATTAATGAAAATTTTCTCTGTTTTGTATAATAAGATCCAATGCTTTTTCTTCTGTTTCAATAGATTGGTTCACTAGGCCAGGAAGTTCTGAACTATGTTTTGGTTGATTATTAGATATTTAGATGGTAGTCCATACTCATCAGAATAGTTTGAGCATTAACTGCAAATGGAGCCAAAAAAGGGGCCCTTAAAGTTCTAAGGAGGAAAACAGAACAATTAACTGAAATTGCCTTCATTATTATGTTAATGGCTATTGATTTAAATTATTTGAAGCATAGAACCTTTTATGATCTCAATCTGTTGGCTGTTGCATTATTTTCTCATATCTTTAAATGCAAATACACACGTTCTTGAGGTAAGATTGTCTGAGTTCAAACATTATTACCTTAAGCTATTTCTTCATCTTCTTGCATTGCTGAGTTATGGAAGTGTTATAAGCATATACGTTGTAATTTCTGTCATGTACTTCCATGCATCTTGATGTGTGAAGATCTCTTTATTGAATTCATCATCATGATGATTGGGCCTATTTTCAATGTAGTAATTTTACTAATGTCTAGCACTTCTTAAATTTTTACACACTGGACTTATTTATGTGCAGGGATCATCGAGCCACTAGATCAGCTCTCTTTGATAACTATGATAGTATTGAGGAAGGTGGCATCAGGGCTTCACATTCTTACTCCCGTGACATGGATGAACATGATAATGACAAAGCTGTGGACAACTTACAAGATAGAGTCACCTTTTTAAAGAAGGTGAGTTTCTGTTGTGAGGGTTCTTTTCAAACCATCACCGCCCCCCCCACCCACTGATCCACACATGCAAGCAGAATTTCTTACTTGGGTGCTTGCATTCTTTTTAAGGCTCACTCTATTTTACAGTTGCAGTTGCTGTGTATAGCTTTATAAATCCAAAAATCAAAACTTAAAAGGCATATAGCATTAGTTTGAAACTTTAGATAGGCAAAATTTCACTTACTATATTGTAATTTTTTAAACATTATTTAATGTGTTCATTACTTAACTTTTTGCAACATCTGTAGTAGATGGGTTTGAAGTTATATCCTTGAGGTAAGGATGGGTGTGAATTTCTTTGGTGGGGAAATACTTCCTATATTCTAACTGATTAATGTTTCAATTACCTTGATGTTCATGTTGGGTGAACAATGCCATTTTTTATTTTTCAAGGTCTTGTGCCATCTACTTTTAGGCATTTTATTTCATCCTTATGAAGTTAGACAAATTACTGGATCAGGATCAAAATGCTACATAGACCCTTAGATTTGATGTCCTAGTTTTTCAGACAGATGGCTTAAAGATATAGTTTCTTTCTGAATTTAGATAATTACAGTGAAAGAAAATAGCTCTGACTGTGCCCTTGTACTTAACAATGACTGAAATGCAAATATGTTAAGAGGCGTATAGTTGTTACTGGTGTCCTAGTGGCAATGTCCTCCTGGAGTTGCTAAGTTGATACTCCAGGGTGAGGTACTACAGTGAAGTGTAAAACTCCAAGCATTGAGCCAGAATAATCTCTTAATTTTGTATGCTTGTCTCATGTTGTCATATTGTAAAAGCTATTCCAAGGGCTGATAGAAGAATATGTAACTAGGAGCACTGACTAATGGTGCATGAGGTGGTTTTGGCTCCTACTATCACAACACATTATCTAATTGGTGATTTTTTAATTTTAATTTTATTTTTTATTTTTTTATACCATAACTCTGAGCTTTTAGCCATGAACTATTGATACAACAAGTATTTTCATCGTCATGCAATTTCTATATACAGATTACTACGAATATGCATGACATTCAGAGAGCTTCATGAATAAAGTTGATACACTTTTCTAGTATTTTATTTTATCCTTATAAAGTTCATATGCATATTATGGAAGTTCTGTACAAACAAAGTTGTATGCTGTTCAGAGTGCTTCATTAGTAATATTCATATCCTTTCTTGTGACTTTTTTATTTATCATCTTAAGGGTTAATTATATGTGCTTTAAATTCACCATGCTATGTATTTAATGACAGTTCTGAATGCAGTTTGTCCTTGCATATTTATTTACAGCTAACAGGAGACATACATGAGGAGGTGGAAAGTCATAATCGAATGCTAGACAAAATGGTATGATGGCAGCAGAATAGTGTGGGCTTTGTATTGAAAAATATATCTTATTGTTGATCGACTTTACCTATCAATATAAATTAGGGGAATGAGATGGATTCATCAAGAGGAGTCCTGTCAAGGACCATGGATCGCTTCAAGATGGTATGGAAACTAGAATAGCTTATTGTTTTTTGTTTCATTAGATATGTACTACTTTGTGTACTTATCCATTATATATGTTTGTGTAAATTGTGGTTGCCAAATTGGACTTTGATAATCAATTTACTTTTTTAGGTGTTTGAGAAGAAATCAAATCGGAGAACATGCAAGCTTGCTGGATGGTTTGTGCTTTCCTTCTTTTTGATATACTATATTTTTAGGTAAGCATCTATATTTTGATCTACAACTTGTGTATTACTCAAAATTGGCCCTCAGTGGAATTACTGAAAACATGGAATTAAAATCCATTGTGTTTAAGAGATTTCTATTATTTCAGTGTCCACTATAAGATGTCTTGATTGGTTCGTGGATTGGGGGGATTGTACTAATGAACCCCGTCACTCCCTTGTTTTGATACTAGAAAATAGTAGACAAAAAATAGCAATACAGAAGTAGCTGGTGGAATTGTTTATCCAAACATATCCGGAAAAAATAGTTGAGGGATTGCTAATCCATTAACTAGGTGATTTGGAACCAAAGAAGCATATTAGTTTTCTGCAAATTTCTATAGTAATCAAACTTAGGGGACAATAGAAATGCATGAATTGATTTCTTCTACTAGTTTAACTGGGATGCTTCAATTGGACTGAGAATTTACAGCTAAAGGACTGCAAGCAAGTGTATCTATAATTCTAAGAACTTGAAAGTTGATGCTGCACCAGTGTTGCTCAATTCCAATGTAGATTCTTCAAATTTTCTAATATTTGTGTCCAGGATAATGAGTTATCATATACAGTGAAGAACCAAGGTATACTTGAATTTCATTTGCTCAAGTGGTAAAGATAAGTGCTAGTTATTTCTTTTGCTTGTAGGTTGCTCATGTATTTTATGCACGGTTGAAAGTGGAACTGACTATCCTGCTATACCAGAGTTGATATTTGGCCTATGAAGATAATAGAAGCATAGTATTGGTCTCGGGGTTGACAATTTCAACCAGCAGAGGAAGTTTGAGATATTATTTTCTTGCAAAATTTCTGTGTTCAACCAAAGGGAATTCTGTCTGCTATGCCGAAGATGGCATTTGTTGCAGTGTGATAATCAGTGTTGATAACTGTTGAACGCTCGTTGTTATTACTCGTGAAAATGGTATTGACAGTTATTTGTTGGGTAGGGATAATTTTAATCACACAAACTACAGGAATGATCTTTCTTTTGATTTGCATGAGAATTGAAATTCAAACTTAATGACACATGTATGGTTCTTTTCTTTCCCACTTCAACAATTTGCCATTAGGAGAGTGAACATTTGAAGGTATTTCCAAAAGAGGATTTGAATTAGTTAGTTGGATCATATTTTGAATTTAAACTTGTAAAGTGTATAGTTATTGGATTCTTGTGCCAACAAATTTCTTTTACTATTGAACCCCCCCCCCCCCCCCCCCCCCCTAGATTGTTGATATATATTGTTAGTGAGTGACCTTATTTGTTTTCATCTATAAAATTTGAAAACTAATAATTATTATTTTTTAAATAGGAAAGGAAAAGAAAAGAGAATAAAGTTAAGGAGGACAAATTTGACATGAATTTATATCATGGATAATTGCATCTTTGGTCATTGAGTATATCCAAATTTTGAATCAGCCTCTCAATTATTATTGTATTCATTGAGTTGGTCTTATGATTTGTTGAAATGCTTTAGAGTGGAAGAACTATAAAATAGGAGGTTGGGAAGTGAAAAATAATGTTGCAAAAATAATTTTAATTTAAGGAGAATAAGATGTGAATTTCTTATTTTATCCCTCTAATAATATGAGATTTTTTGTCAAAGTTGAGACGAAAACTTAACTTTAAGACCAAACATGCCACTTTATTAATTACTGAGGAGTCAACAATTAAAAGACTGAATCGTTAATATGTGTATAACTCAGGGATTAAATATATATTTTTCCTTTATATTAAGATGATAAAAGTTTGATTAAAATCTATATTTTAAAGATTAGCACATGGACCTTGATCATCTGTGAACAATTTTGTCAACTTTTTCGATGAACATGAGAAAAATTTATGGACAATTATTACCCTGTGAAAAGACAACTAGATGGTTGTAGCAATTTCTGGATTATTTTTATTATTAATTTCAACATATGCTTGTGGTCTTAATTGATCAATTATATGTACAGTGCTAGGAATATATTTTATTTATCAATTAACGACCCCATCAACTAGATTATTCCGACCACTAGAAATCTATATTATATTACATATTCCTATTTACGTTGATGCAGTTATTATTATTATTATTTTTTAGACAAAGGAGTGGTGTGAACCTGAACTCATTATCGCAGATTTAGTTGACAGTTGACGACTTTCACCCACACCACTCCTAGCGCTTCTTTTCTCAAAGGTCTCGTAACAGTTCAACTTGTAATCTGATTCTAATATCATTTATTATGATTAAACGTTTCCTCTAATCGGACACTGAAACAAGAAAACAAGAAGCAGCGGACTTCCTATAAAGATATAAGGCTTTTGGACTTGCTTGTTTGACCGAAGGAACGGATACAGTCTTAGATAGAACTCTTACTGCTATGCCAAAAGTTATAGATCGTAGTGAAAGCACAACTTTACAATTTTATTTTTGTAACTCCAATGGATGTTGTAACATGAACCCCAATGACAACCTAAATCGACAAATAATTAAACCTAACCGATGGAGTAGAGAGCAATGAGAGGTTGGTTGCTACCTCAAAGCTTGCAAAAATAAAAGGGTAGAAACTAGAAAGAGTCAAGAGTCCATGTTATCAAAGAAGTTTGGCCAGTTGCCAACTCATCTCCAAGGTTCAACCTAGTATAGATACCTCCATGGTGAGAAATAAGAAGCCAATTTGCTATTAAGGAGGATATAACTTCATAATATGATCGTGTAATTATTAATCATCCTATGTGCCCATATTAACTTCAATTCGTGATCCAAAATAAATAAATCATTTTCTTCATTATTATATTGTTTATTACTCAATCCTTGTAATTGGCCAAGTAGAAAGGGAGTGAAAGTTTACACACACACACAAAAAGAAGGTTGAAATCTGACCTCAACCAAGTTTTAACAAAAAATGGTTGAGGCCAACACAAGGCCAAACTTAATGAAAAACAGAATGAACTATCATGCCCTAAAGGTGTGGGTGTCAGACCTCATCTATCCGATGAGAGAAAAAAAAGAGCCATGACTGAGGATTGTCCTCAGCAACTCTGTGGAATGCGAGATCTAGGCCGTCTTTGGCTACCTCAGTTAGTACGCTTCAACTTTCCCTCGGCTATCTCGATCCCGTAGTCTTTCACATCGAGTCGAGGCCGACTTTGGTATAGTCTTGTAATTAATCTGTGTTCATTTGGACGTGAATAGTCTGAAATAATTTACATTCAGCACACAAATAATATACTTTTAATAGTTTTAAAAAAAAAAGTACTTTTAGTATATTAAAAATGTACATTGTATTCAAGAAAAATACATTATTTGAATACTAAAATTACAATATTTTGTATAATGTACATTCAATACACAAATAATGTACGTACTTTTAGTATGTTATTAATGTATTTTTGTTATGGTCCACATAAAGATGTGCCCTATAGTGTAGATATAGTATATATTAGGGATGGCAATGGGTCGGGTGTGGGTCGGGGAGGGCTACATCCATCACCCGACCCACCTTATATTTTCTCCACCCACCCCCACCTCCAACCCACATCGGGTGGACTTTTTCAGAACCCACCCCACCCCCACCGGGTGCGGGTGCCCACTACGAATACCCACCACTTATCATCTTATTATGTTTTTCAAAAAATAATATTTAAATTATTTACACATAATAAAAAAAATAAAATCCATTAGTGATATTAAAACATAAATAATGGAAATATTTAAATATAATAACTAAATTGTTAATTTTTAAAAATAAATTTAGTAGTTTTGATATAAAAAATAATAAAAAGATACACGAAGTTATATAAACTATTATAAATAACTACATATTAGTACTTATTTTACTATTATATATATACACACACACGCATGGTGGGTCGGGTGGGGTTCTAGGCGGGTCTTGTACATAGAACCCGAATCCAACCCGACCCACCGCGAGTTTTCTTTTTTAAGACCCACCCCCGACCCACCACCCACCATCACCCAAAAAAACCCGATCCATGCGGAATGGATTCGGGTGGATATCCACGGGTCGGATTGAAATTGCCATCCCTAGTATATATACACCATGACACCATGTCACCATGTATTAGGTTATACTCTTAACCTACTCTAACCGGGGTAGTTAATTTCTAACCCTTCCACCAAAACGCTTCTTGACCCAAAGACTTCCCCATCCGCTCAATGTGTCGGAGCCAAGACAGCGATGTCCACATGCCCACAAGGCCCCACCAACATCTATCAAACCCTAATCTTTAATTTTCCTTAATTAGCTACCTTTTATCTCTCTATCATAACAATACAATACATATACATCCAATTAACCTTGCTTTCTTCATCACATCTAATCACAATAACCAAACTTTCAGTATCTTCTTGTTACACACATTTTTCCCCCATCCGTATTGAAAGTTTAAGGGGCATGATATATAGTACATGTTATAAGTACATATTGATATTATGCATATATTGTGTTTGATAAAGTTATCTTCTCGATCTGTTCCAAGGATGTGCACTGGGTAAACGACAAATCCTGTATCGTGGTCTCAGTCGACAAAGGAGAATTGAAGAATTTGTAACCTTATGGTTACCAAATTAACAATCTGATCAACTACTCCGCATTATACTTTTGAGAAGTGTGTTATACAATTTTATCAAATATAAGTAATGATATACATAGGATAAGACATAAAGTCGAAGTTCCTGTATATGCATTTTTTTTTTGGATGTATATTTCTTTTTGAAACAATTTCATATATAGTATCTTGCATCTCTCATCTATATATCTTTTCATCAATTTACTCAATCATCTAATTCTTAAGGAAAAAAAAAAACAAAAGAAAAATTGTTGCACTTTTCTGCAGTTATCTTCTTTCTCCCTTTACTTGATTCCATGAAATACTTCTAGCTAGCTGCATCTAATTCCCCACAAAAAATTAAAGGAGCTTCTCCCTTCCCAAGATTTAATTACTCTTTATATTTTATATATACACACACACATATAATTAAGCTTTTCTTGATTTAGGGTATTAATTAATTATTGCAAGTCTGGCTAATCGGTGGTGGGCCGGGACGGTGGGCTTGCCGGGGATCGACCTGCCGGCGAGTTGCTCACCTGCACTTACCAAACAGGTTGTTTCAGTTAGCGAATTGGAAAGCAATGGAAAAAGCAGTAATAATGGAGATATTAATGAAGATGGAGATGAGGCTAAAGAGGGAGCAGTTGAAGTTGGGACGACGAAGCGGCCGAGAGGGCGGCCGGCGGGGTCCAAGAACAAGCCGAAACCGCCGGTGTTGGTGGCCCGCGACAGCCCCAACGCCATCCGGAGCCACGTCATGGAGGTGGCCGCCGGCGGCGACGTGGCGGAGAGCATAGCTCAGTTTGCAAGGCGACACCAGAGAGGTGTTTGCGTGCTGAGCGCTAACGGCTCCGTCGCCAATGTAACCCTAAGACAGCCGGTTCGAGCTTTGGTGCTTCAGGGCCGGTTCGAGCTTTTGTCCTTGACCGGAGCATTCTTGCCCGGTCCGGCTCCCCAGGCGGCCAACGGGCTCACCGTCTACCTCGCCGGCGCCCAGGGACAGGTGTTGGGCGGAAGCGTGGTGGGACCCTTGGTGGCTGTGGGGCCAGTTATGGTCATAGCTGCCAGCTTCACTAACGCAACTTACGAAAGATTGCCAGTACCGGAGGAAGAAGATGATCACGGCGGCGGAAGAACGGCGGCGCAAATTCTCGGCGGCGGCTCGCCGCCTCCCCCGGCGGCACAGATGCCAATAATCCCTTCATCAATGTCGCCTCTTTACAATCTAACACCAAATAATGGAGCACATTTGAGTGGCGATGCATATGTTTGGGGGAATCCCAGGCCACAGTTTTAAGATGATCAGATCAAAAAATTAGGGCAAAGGAGAAAGAGAAGATCGGAGGTACTCAATTGATTTCACAAGTATTTGATCTTGTTTATGTTTAGGTTTCATGTTTGTGCTAAAGAAAACAATTCTGAGGTTTGTTGTGGTGTGGTTTATATATATATAGATAGATATATGAAGAGAAATCATATAATAATAATATTATTATTAATTTCTCTTGCTTCCATGGACTGTGTTTGCAATAAAATATGGTTAATTCCTTTATTTTTGTTTGATTTTAAAAATCTTTTGGGTGGAAAATTAAGAAATGAATTCCATCTTTTTCTAGGTATGTATAAAATAAGAATTAATTATTACTTAATCCGCAGAAAATATATCTTCACATATACATACTTTACTTCATCTTTTCTATCCATATATCTTTGTTTGATGAATTTTAATTTAAATGCTTTGTGATGATGAAATTTGGTGTTATGTATCATTCATTAAACTCTTCTACTTCTCTTAGCTTTGATCTAAAATGCATAGAAGCAACACTCCAGCTTCAAGACAACGAGGCGGGAAGAAGGCGAATTAATGCTACATGTGTGCATGTGTGCGCGTGTGCGTATATATTTAAAAAATGAAAAGAAAAATGTTGATGTGTGCTTGTGAGTTCACATAATTAATTACGTTTTAGAAATGATATTTATTAAGATATTAATCATATTTTAACTTATGGACTATATATTCTTAATTTCGTAAAATTTGGTGACATTGTATTTTAAGTATACAATTTAATGATATGTTGTAGTTGTTGATGATCTGAAGACCGAATTGTTTAAATTAAAGGAGGTGCATTGAACTGATTCTTTGTCTTGGCAATAATTGATAAAGAATGAAAGAATATAATAATAAGTATACCTACATATTTTAATGAGGGGATGGAACTCTATGCAGTGGGTATAGACTTTATGTTAAATGGCTAGTTTATTATATATATATATATATATATATATATATATATATATATATATATATATATATATATATATATATATATGAGATTATTATTTTATTGATGAGAATGTTAAGAATGGTAATAGAGTCAGTAGTACTAAAAAAAATAATAATAATGAGAATGTTAAGGATTGTGTACGTGAGTGTTTACTTTTATATAAATTTGTGTATATATACCATCATAACATGCAGTTGTGTGAACCATACTATCAAATAATGTACTTTTAGTATATTAAAAATTTATATTGTATTTAAAAAATGTACATTGACAAACCTATCTAAAAAGGTAGCTGAAAGCTGAAAAGTTATAAGGTAGAAGCTGAAAACTGAAGAGCCGTTAACTAACTGATTATACTTAAAAGTGTTTGGTAAAATTAGCTTTTTAATGAGCTGATAAATGTAAAAAGACTAAAAAGGATATTTTCATAAAATTTAAATGATGTGAATATTATATTGTTTTTATATTATTAAATATATGAGATATATTTAATTTATAAAAAAAGTTTTTATTTTATAATATATATGAGATATATATTAAATTAAAACAAAAGAAAAAAGTTTTTAATGGGGAAGTATAAGGATGTTATTTATTTATGAATGGACGATTGGAGTTAGAATTTAAAGAATTGTTGGGTGGTGAAAAGTTGCGGAAGATGATAGAATAAAAATATAGGAGAAAGAGAAAATGCCAAAAACATTTTAATGGGGCAAAGTAAAGGATGTCATATTTTTTATTTTTTATTTTTTAACCAAAGGAGGTCATTTATTTAAAATAATAAGGATAAAGATGAAAAAAAGTTAGGAAACGACTAGCTTATTTTTAAAACATTACCTAAGGTAACTTTTCAAAATAAGCTCTTATTTTAAAGATACTAGCTTATTTTTAAAACATTACCTAAGGTAACTTTTCAAAATAAGCTCTTATTTTAAAGATACTAGCTTATTTTGAGAACATTACCAAACATAACTTATAGCTTATTAGTAACTTAAAATAAGCTATAAGTTCCTAAATAAGCTCTGCCAAACAGAGCCAATATATTATTTAAGTACTGAAAGTACACTATTTTGTATAATGTACATCCAGTACACGAATAATACAATTTTATTATATTAAAAATGTACTTTTTTATTATAATTCATACATCACTGTGTGGATCATAATTTGCCATTTGCATACATACAGGCCGGGGCACAACTAATTAAAATTTTATTTTGAATGGGTGGTGAGTTTATTATGATGTAAACAATTTTAGTTAATAATACCGATCTATTCATAAAATGGTCGAAATTATTTTAAAAGGCTGTACCCCTCATTTTATTATAAAAATAATCATCATCTTTATTATTTAAAAAAACAAAAAAACAAAATCATCATCTTTATTATAACTTCATTACTTGTATGTTTACTTTTATATTTATAAAACTATTTTTTTCCCAATTAAATATAACAAAATTCTTATTTCATTACTTGGTCCTTCATTCTTTGTAAAGTTTAATTTGATTGTTTCAACAAAAAAAATGTTGAAAAAATATTTCAAAATAGAGTTGAAATAATAATAATAAAAATAAATATTATATTGTACTATTTTTACCTTTGCATGACACCTTATGGATGGGTCACTATAAAAGTTTACTCTAAAATCTAATTGATTTTAAAAAATGAAACAAGTTAAGAATTATTCTGTATGTTTTATTTATTAAATCATATACTATCAAAATTATAAGGATAAAAAAATATAATTAGAATCATATACCACATAAAAGATATATAATTCTAATTATATTATTTTTTGTATAATTATTGAAAAATGTTCTAATTATTTATGTGGTATCACATAACCCTTCTTTACATGATATATAATTTTAATTGTGCTATTCTTATCCATGTAAATGTTGGTAATATATTGTTTAATTTTTTTTTGTGTAATTGAGGAAATTACTTTTACATTATCTTTCTTATATTATCTTTTTTTTTTTTTTTTTTAAAAAAACACTCATGATTCTTTACAAGGTATGTAGCACCTGTTTACTTTCTCAATCTTTTTATCTTAAAGAATCAATGCCCCCACCACTGGAGTCTGATAGATGTGTCATCACACTACATAGTAGTTGGCAATAAGTTATTGTTAATGTTATTGTAATGTTGAAAATATTTTTAGTACATTTTTATTTTAGCTTATTATATATAACCATAAATAATAGTGTTAATAAACTAGCTTGGATGGCGTGAGCTGAGTAACCGTGCACTCTTATATCTTAAGAGAGGTTGAGAGTTCAAAACAACCTCTCGATGGAGAAATGAATATAGCCAGCATTTTTCTCCTTAATTGGACCAGCCCGGTATGAACGAGGATTAGTCTAAGTATGATATGAGTTTAAAAGTGCCTCTTATAATTAGGCATACTCGGGACACCTCGTGGTATAACCAAATTAATAGTGTTAATAAATTATTTGATTTTTCTATTTTTAACAGTATAGGGACTAAATTAATCAATTTTATAATATAGGTGTTAGAAATAAGTGTAAATTAAATTTTGATAATGCAATGTACAAATTAAGTTTAGAATCAAGTCAAATAAACTATACAACATAATTACAAACCAGCAATGATTTTTCAAGCAACAGAAGTGTTTACAATAGTAGAAGTTTGAAAGCAATAAAAATTGTCAAAGCAACAAGACTTATCTAGTAGCAAGGTAATGCTAACAACAAAGGATTTGTTGTTGTAGAGGTTTCTACAAGCAATAGAAAATCCTTGTAGCAGAGAATTGATAAGATGAACTTACAAAGACTAAGAGAATGATAAGTAATATAGATTCCTTTTCAATGAGCAAAAACATTCTCTGATCTATTCAAGCAGCATACAAAGTGTCCCCAAATTCTAATCATTGCTTAGCTTTCATTTGTTTCTCTACTACCCCTGTGACAAGTTTTGTTTCTTCAAAGATCATTCCATAGAGTCTCATCCCTAGAGGATGATAATTTAAAATCTTAACTTTTTAATTCACTTAAACCCTGATCACTTGGACTACCATCAACCTTTTGGGCAACCTTCCAAATGTAACCTTTGACTAGGAGTCAATCCATTTACTATTCGGTATTAATTTTACCTTCCGATCTCAATGACCTTCCGATTAATGATATGCTTTGGTCCTTCTGCTATTCAGCCTTGAACTTTCTGGGTCTTCAAATCGTTAGTTATTCAGTCTTAAATTTCTCGATCTTTGATCTTTTCGACTATAAACTATTTGGTACCTTGACTATTATGTAGCTTCACCTTCCGAGTCCTTGAATTTCTTTGGAAAATGACTTTCTAGGAAATTGACATTCCTAAGGTTACCTTCTAAATTGAATTACTATCCAATGTGCGTGGTTAACTTACGGGTAGTATTGTTCGTTCCAAAGCATAATCTTCTGGACAATTACAGCCTAGAAAAACCTAAGTCTAGATAAATAAAAAAAATTGGAGACCTAATTCCATAATAAGTTTGGTATAATCAAAATCTAATACACATGATTTCTAATATAGTGGACAAAAGATACTAGTGAATTACCTCCTAGTGGAAAAGGAGAAGAGTGGAGTAGAGAAATTATAACAATCTTGAACCACTATCAAATTTGTTGCATGTCTCTTTACTTTACGCACTTTCATTTCTTACATATTTCTTTATTGCTTAACATTTTCATACTTACAATACGTGTTAGTATGCTATACAAATATTTCTAATGTATGTGTATTTTAACTATGAAAAAGTTTTTTTTTTTTTTTTTTTTTAAAGATTTCAACATAGCATTTCTAGGTTTTTTTTTTTTTTTTTTTTTTTTGGGGGGGGGGGGGGGGGGGGGGGGGTGAGATTGACTCTCAAAGTAACTCTCCTAAATGGGAGATCATGAGTTAAAGTCTCAATATGGGCGATATTGACTCTTCGTGCTTCAATAGGTTGAGAAAGTATATTTGAACAGATACTACAATGTAACAGAGTCAGTAGTACTAAAAAAAGTTTAATTTCACTTATTCTTAAAGAAGAGGCATTGATCCCGATTTGATAGAGTAAAAGTCTAGAAGGGTTGAATAAATAAATTTTTAAAAGGTATAAGATATAAATATGTAATATGGCAAATTATGTTGTGCATCCGTGTGCACCATGCATGATGCACACGGATGCAAAAACGACGTCGTTTTGACTAAAAACACACGTCCACTTAAAAAAAAAAAATCAGTTTTGATGCCCGGCAACAACATTATGTTGTGCATAATTTGAACTATATATCCAGAATCAATGAACTAAAAATCCCGAATGAATGAACTAAAAATCCATAATGAATGAACTAAATATTCATAATGAATGAACTAAATATCCAGCATGAATGAAAAAAAATCAAAGTTTCGATTTTCGTCTAAATATCCAGAATCAATGAACTAAAAATTCAGAATCAATAAACTAAAAATCCAGAATCAATAAACTAAAAATCCAGAATCAATTAACAACATAATGCTGTTGAGGGGAATCAAAACTATTTTTTTTTTTAAAGTGGGATGCGCGTCGTTAGTCAAAACGACGTCGTTTTTGCATCCGTGTGCACCATGCATGGTGCACACAGAGGCACAACATAACGATTGATGTAATATAACCATTAGAATAGAATTTTTTTTTGGTTAAATCACGAGGTGTCCTGAGCAAACACTAACTGTAGAAGGTACCTTTAAGCCCGTATCATACTCAGACTAATCCACATTCGCACTAGACCGGCCTAATTAAGGGGCAAAATATTGGCCAGATTGGTATTTTCATATAAGAGGTGGTTCAAACTCCGATCCCGACCTCTTAAGGGACAATAGTGTACGACCATTCACACCAACCAAGCTGGTTACCATTAGTATAGATATTTAATTGAAAGGGAGTACTACGCAAATTATGCTGTGCAACCGAATGCACCATGCACATGGTGCATACGATGCAAAACGACGTCGTTTTGGTTAAAAAAACCTGAGTCCCACTTAAAAAAGAAATCAGGTTCGGTTCTCGTCAATAGCATTTTTATATATCCATAAATTTATAACTATATATCCACAAATTCATAACTATATATTCACAGTGAATGAATGAAGTAGAAATCCACAATGAATGAACTAAATATCCATAAATTCATAACTATATATCCAGAAATTCATAACTATATTTCATAACTATATATCCAGAAATTCATAACTATATATCCATAAATTCATAACTATATATCCACAGTGAATGAATGAAGTAAATATCTACAATGAATGAACTAAATGTCCACAATGAATGAACTAAATATCCATAAATTCATAACTATATATCCAGAAATTCATAACTATATATCTAAAAATTCATAACTATATATCTACAATAATGCTATTGCCGAGAATCAAACTTAATTTTTTTTTTTAAGTAAGACGCGTTTTTAATCAAAACGACATCATTTTGCATCGTATGCACCATGCGCGCATGGTGCATTCGGTTGTACAGCATAACTATTGGGAATACTATGGGAAAGCCGGAAAGGTGAAAGGACATGGCTTTGGTTGAGAGATGAGACCAATGTAGTGTTCTTTATAAACCCACAAGACATGACATTTTGGCACTTTGCAAGGGCACTCAACGGATCGTAATTAATTTAATTTAGTAAAAGACTAATGAAACATGTGGGACCCTCTTCACGTGAAGAGGCTAATTAACGTAAATAAAATATGATCAGCAACTCAATCCCAAACATTCCATAGCTAAAAGTCTGTTGAAGGGACCTATTAGCCCCAATAATTACTAAAATGTTTTCCCACCACTAAAATAATGATACCCATTTCAAGGAAAAGAGGGCCAATAAGAACAAATTGAGTATTGCTTTTCCATTCTTAGGCCGTTTGCCTTTTCATACAATTTAAGTGCGTAGACTCGGCCATAGGCCCATAGCTCACTGCCACTTGCATTTTGCCACATAACTTTTTGTAGCAATTCTATGTGATTCCACTAAGCTCCCATTAATGAAACCTACACCACTAATTAATATAATTAATTACTCGCCATGAGAATATGTATTAGTGGTTTAGCATATTGGCAAATTTTACTGTGTAATTGTTGAGTAATGTGCAATTCAATTATCAGTTTATGCTTTTAGTTGAGATAGAATACATGCTTTAATTTGGTATTGGAACCAAACTAAAGGCATAAGAAATGGTATTCGTTTCGCATAATTATTTCTGTTTATATAAAATATTCGGTTTCATTTTATATACATTGCATTTTCATTTCAGCACAAATAAAGTTTCATTTTGTTTCAACTACAGTTTCATTTGACATTATACATATAATAGTTTTATTACAGTGAGACCTGTTATTGAAATTCATTTTATACACACTGTAGTCTTATTATAACACTAATAAATTATAACTCTAATTCAACTATGATTTTATTAGACAATGTACACTCAAATATGTGAAACTGTTATTCAGTTTCATTTATATATATTGTAGTTTCATTACGTACAACACAACTAAAGTATCATTTCGATATAACTACAGTTTCATTTGATAATATACACTCAATATGTGAGACATGTTATTCAGTTTCTTTTTATACATACTGTAGTTTTATTTTAGCAAAATTAAAATATCATTTCAAGTTAACTACAGTTTTATTTGACAATATACACTCGATATGTGAGACATATTATTCAATTTCATTTTATACATATTGCATTTTCATTTCAGCACAACTAAAATATCATTTTAATTCAATGATGTTTCAATTGATAATAGTCTTTTTAAAATGTATAATAGTCTTTAAAAGACGTGGAACACACCCCTTAATTAATTTCACAAAGAAAACATGAATTTAGTTTAACTTTTTTTTTTTTTTTTTTTTTTTTTTTAAATTACTTTACATCTCTTTCTATCTCTTTTTGAATCAAGAACGGAACATGTTTTTGTGATGATATACACATTACCACCAAATTTTTGGAAGTCAATCTATATGACAGTAGGTCTAAATTTGAGTGCCAGCACCGTATAAGGGAGTGCTCTAAATTAGGAAAAAACTCTAGCGTGTGAAACATGTCAATTAACATGGTTTGAGTAGTATCAATTGACTTGTGGTTTATTCGTATTTGGTTTGACTCTTTATGTGGGGGTTTAGTGTTTGAGCCTTAGTGTAGGCAAATATTGGGTATATGTGGATGTTTCTTTTATTTTGTAATAAAAAAGAATGTGATATATTTAGTCAATTAAATTATTAAATGTGGTGGGTATCAGGGTATGGTAATATCAAATACATCCATTAGGTTATTCATTCATTCATCCTAGACGGTATTTAAATCTTCGTGTTTAACTCATCAATAATATAAAACTTATATATATAAGGTTGAGTTCAAACTCATATTTTAATCAAATCAAATTCAAAACAATATAATTTTTTTTTTTTTAATGAAAAGGTAGCTGAAAGCTGAAAAGTTATAAGCTAGAAAATGAAAACTGAAGATCTGTTAACTAGCTGATTATGCTTAAAAGTGTTTGGTAAAATTAACTTTTTGATAAATTGATAAATGTAAAAAGACTAAAAAAGATATTTTTATAAAATTTAAATGATGTGATTATTATATTATTGTTATATTATTTAATATATGAGATATATTTAATTTATAAAAAAATTTTGTTTTTATATTATATATGAGATATATATTAAATTAAAAGAAAAAAAAAATCAAGACTATGTGGTCTAATGGTACCTGAGTTGGACTTCTATTTGGAAGGTTATGAGTTCAAGCCTTAGTGGAGGCGTTATTGGTTCTTTATGTTTTAGTAGGTTGAGAAAGTATATGAACAGATACTACAATGTAAGAGTAAATACCCAAAAACTTTCAATTTCAACCAATTAAGTCCTTAACTTTGTAATTTTGACACGATTTGGTCCTCCATCTATTTGACCGTTTGTTGACCGTGATCGACGATCTCCAGAAGAACCTTCAGCTCTTGTCGGAGCACGTGGAGACCTTCAGGATGACGTTGCACTGGTTCGGAAACACGTCATCTTCTTCGCTCTGGTACGAACTCAACTACATTGAATCCAAAGGGAGGATGAAGAAAGGCGATCGAATTTGGTAGATTGCTTTCTGCAGTGGATTCAAACGTAACAGTGCGGTCTGGAAATGCAACCAAAACTTTAAAAAATCGACGATGAACCATGAAATTACATATATATCCTCAAAAATCACAGTCAACAAACGGTCAAATAGACAGAAGATCAAATTGTGTTAAAATTACAAAGTTAAGGACTTAATTGGTTGAAATTAAAAGTCGAGGACCAATTTGTGAATTTAGCTATAGTCGAGGGACCATTTTGGGTATTTACTCACAATGTAATAGGGAAGAAAAATGAATTCAAATATAGGAGAAAAGGGCTAGTAACATTCCAAAAAAAAAAATTTTAATTGGGAAAAGATGTAATTTATTTATGAACATAAAAAAAATTTAAATATTTATTTATGAACATAAAAAAAAAAAAAATTAATTGGGAAAAGATGTAATTTATTTATGAACATAAATTAGAGTTAGAACTTTAAGGAGTTGCTACTGGGCGGTGAAGAGTTGCAGAAGAAAAATGAATTCAAATATAGGAGAAAAAATGTCAAAAAAGAATTTTAATTGAAAAGAGTTACAATAGAAAGAAATAAAAATATTATTATTCAAATAAAAGATATAACCTTCATCTACATTTATTCTTCCAAAAGGCTGAACCCCACCCCAACCCTAACCTTCATCTACATTTATAATCGATCCGATCCGTGCATCACTTTGATTAGACTCCTGATCTCTTTCTCATCCTCTTTTCCATGCTTTTTAGTTTAGCCCGCATGCCATCCAATATCCTCATCCTCACTCTTGGTCTCTTTCTCCACCATCTTTCTCCTATTTTCTCCTCCTTTGTTACAAAGTTTGACTCATCATGCTCAGACTTGGAATCAAAATTATTATAACACTCAGATGGCTCTGTCAATCATTTCAATAAATTAAACATGAAAATTAAAGAGATTTAGTTAATTAAACCAAGATCAGAGTAAAAATAATGCATAATCACTCACTGCTGAAAATCTGAAAATTATGGAATTTCCGACCACATGAAAGTGATCTTAAATCAAGTCGAAAGTAAAAAGTGATTGGAAATAGCAATAAAAGTTTTTTCGGATACCAAAAGTGGTCGGAATAAGGATTTCGACTTGATTTAAGATCACTTTTAGGTGGTCGAAAATTCCATACTTTCCAGCAGTGACTACTGTATAATGTATAGTACTTACCGAGAATCTCGACATTGAGTTGCTCAATTCCCATTTCCCGTGCACATTCCTCATTTTGCTTCACCCAAACGTCAACAAAGGGATTGCAATCCTTGGCAGTTATGAGTTTCAATGTTAAAACATCCTCAAAAGTAGAAGTTATAACTACTAAGTTCCGACAGTATCCCAAAGCTAATTGCTCAAGGCAAGGAAATGACTCAGCAGGAATGCTAATATTCCAAATTACAATATCAAGAAAAATTAATTGGAGGCGTTTGAGTTTCTTGAATTGGGTTTCCTCATCCACATTCCATTCTAAGCCCTCCTCAAACTTGCAATGGAGTAATATTAGACTCTCGAGATTGGGAAGTTGTTGTGCAATTGTTGAAATTGCAGACACGGAAAGAGTAATACCATTCAACCACATTTCCTTAAGACTTGATGGAAACTTGCTGAGTTTAAGATCATTAAGAAGATGCGGATGACTTTCAAAACTACCGAATAAGTTCAACTTTTCAAGATCATGGAGAAAGTCAATTTCGGGGAATGGATATGTTGATAAACCACCTTGCAAAGTTTTGAGATTGGGAAGCTTTCTCAATAAAGGTTCGTGCATTGCAGTGAGAGGACATGACGAAACCCAGGTTTGCAATTCTTCTGAACAAGGAATTGCTTCAATCATATCTGCTATTGATTTCTTCACGCAAGACTTATCACAACTGGCACCACTAATATTCAGATGTCTCAATCTACTCATATTCAGGAAAAAAATTGGGAAATGCACCTTATGTGATCGCAACTTTAATGTTATGAGACACTTGAGATTCCCTAGTGATAATGGCGAGACATCATCTGCAACATCATCTTCATCTCCATCTACTTTGAGAGCTAGATACCTTAGATGAATCAGTGAGTTACCTTCAAACAAAATTGATTGGTACACACGGATTGCCTCTAAATCCAAGATTGTGAGATGCTCAAATTTTTTAGCAATCCATGAACCTTTATAAAAGGGACTAGCATAACCATTTTGGAAAACCAAAACTGTGCGAATAGAAGAATTCCATGGTACTAATTCAGAAGGAAGATTATGTCTCCCTCGTAAATGAAAACATATTCGATGTGGGGTAAAATTCAGAGTTGGATCCAATTTCTTTTTCATATTAATTACCTCCAAGGAAATATTTTCTCTAGCTTCTGTTAAGCAAAAGTCACGTACCAAATCATGAACCGTGCATGATAGGATGTGACCATCATACTTCTTTTCAGACACCATAATTAGGTTACTGCAAACCAAATGGTTTAAGTACTCCTCTGCTTCATCTTCTACTCTCCCTTTCTCTATGATGAATCCTTCACATATCCATAGTTCCATTAGTTTCGAAACATCAATTTTTTCATCCTCGTGGAATGCAGCAAAGTAAAGTAAGCATGGCTTCAAATGATCTGATAAATACTTGTAACTAAGCTCTATCGCATCTTTGCTTTGTATCACGTCTCGAAATTTATCATCGGAGTTTAAAGTAAATAGAAATCCACTCCACATTTGCTCACTCTTTTCAACTTTTTCAAGAAGACCCGCCATCAAACCAATTGTCAAAGGTAATCCCCCACATTTTTTAGATATTTTTCTTCCAACATTTTCAAGCTCTTCAGGATATCCCTTCCCTTTAAATAACTTCACTTGCAATAATTCCCAGCTCTCATCAGTAGTGAAGAATGGAAGATGAATATGTTTGGCATCAGAAACCACACTTTCTTGTCTGCTTGTTAAGACAATTCTACTTCCATTGTCACATGAGGGAAAAACTCTATTCAACTCTTCCCATGCTTCTAGACTCCAAATATCATCCAACACTACGAGGTATCTCATTCCCATCAAACTTTTGCGAAGCTCTGCAGATACACTACTGCTCATCTTTATCTCGCTGCCACATACTTGACTATATATTTTGTTCAACAAGTCTTTGTAATCATATTCTTGAGAAACAGTACACCATGCACACTTGTCAAAGAAGTCGGCTACATTTTTCTTCTCATACACTCTCTTGGCCAAAGTTGTCTTCCCCAATCCGCTCATACCAGTAATTAAAATAACTTCTCTCTCGTCTGACCCATGAATAAGATGTTCTATGATAGTTTCTTCTTCTTTCTTGAAACCCACAACTATATCATTATCTGGACTAGAGATGTTTGGCATCATTTTGATCTCAAAAAGCTTCTATTATTTCTACAATTACAAGGTTTGGTTGAAATATATTCAATATTTTTCATCAATCAGAATAAAAGAACAAATTAAAGTAAGAAAGTGAAAAAATTATGAGAGCCAAAGCACTTGATAATGGACGTGATGACGAAAAGAGAAGAGTGTTGGCACAAAGAGGATATAAATTGATATTAAAGATTTTACTTTTAGAAATTATAAATGTATCTTTTAGAAAATGAGTTGCCATAAAATGGGAAACTTTATACACAGTAATAGGTAATTACAAGTAGTGTTTTGTGAGATGTGACAATTACCCTTCTAGTGCCCATATTTATTCCTGTGATAATATATATATATATATATATATATATATATATATATATATATATATATATATATATATATATATATACTAGTATTTTTTATGCGCGATGCGCCAAATATAGGTGCCCAATATTAATACATTATATTAAAATTTTAAATTTATTTAGATTTTAGATATTTAAATTATTCTAAATAATAATAATAATAATGTAAATTATTTTTATAAATTTGATATTTATATTTATGTAATAATTAACATATAACTCAAATATTTAATGTGTATATATTATTATTAATGACGAAGATAAGAAAATATATGGTGGATGCATGTGCATGGTAACAATAGTGGAAAAGATAATGGAAGTTATAACGATAGGGGTATGTTTGTCCAAAATATTTTAATGTACAACCTTTATAGCATAATGTACAAAAAAAACTTAACAGAAAAAATGGACTTAAATCAATGGTATAACTTTCATTCACACTTATTATGTTTATTATATATATATATATATATATATATATATATATATATATATATATATATATATATATATATATATATATATATATATATATATGACTCATATAAAAATTAAAATAAGTAAATGCTTAATACACTTTTCAAATAATAAATAATTATTAATGAATTAACCTTTTATTTTCAAAAAATAAATAATTAATTAATATAAAATAAAAATAATTATATTCAATATAATCAAAATTAATATTTTCAATTTGTTATAAAAGTAATAGTAAATATAAGTATCGTTGTAGATAGTTATAATCGAAAATAAAAATAATTTATTAACAATTTTTATATTAAAATAAATAAGCATTCTTAATGCAATATTGATGATTAGTCAGTAAAACTTAACTTTCATTTTTTTATGTTTAAAGTAACATAATTATAATAAGCTTACTGTTGTTGTTGAATAGTAATTAAAAAGTTATGGTATTAAGTTATAACATTTGAATTTATAAATTTTCCTTGTGTATATGATTAGAACATCAATTGGTGTTATATATAGCTATTCATCTTGTAAACTCTCATTAACATTTTGAAATATTATTTAAAATATGGAGAAATTTTATTACATACATAGTATATCAAGTTGTAATAAAATGTACTCTAATTTGCAATAAAGATTTGGAATAAAAAAATTAAAATTTGTGCTATAATATATTAAGCAAAATGAAATAAATAGTTGAAAAAGAAAGGCTATATTTTAGAATAATTATATCATGACATTCATATATATCTTTTAGGATAAATATTCACATAATAGTAGTTTTTACTTTTTTTTTTTTTAATATAAAGTTGATTAAACAAATCAAATTATGTAAATATTTTTATATTTTAATTGTTACCACAAAGAAAAAATAGTTGAAAAAATAGAAATCATTGACACTAATTTAACTGTTATAATAATAATAATAATAATAATAATAATAATAATAATAATAATAATAATGTAAAATACAAAATGTCATCATTGTTGTTGTTGTTGTTGTTGTTATTAAAATGTTAGAAAATATTTTTGCAATGAGAAACTTGAAAATACTAAATACTTAGCAGAATATTCCATCCATTACTAAAGTTCGTACATATAAATCTTCTTTTTCAAAAAACAAAATTTGTAATAAATCGAAAAGTAAAAGTGAAAGATAGTAACTTTGAAAATGTTTTATCATTGGACATGGAATAAATTAAAATGTACAAGTCACTGATTCATATTTTATTACACTAACATAATTTTTATTCATGTTATAACCTTACCAACATTGTAGATATATAGTTATAATTGAGAATACACATTATATATGTTCTAACAATTTTTATAATAAAATAAATTCAGTTCATCTTAAATGTGATAATGATGAGTCAATAAATTTTTTTTTTTTAAAGTGACATGATTATAATAAGTTTACTGATGTTGTTGAATAGTAATTAAAGAGTTATGCAAATTAATTTATAACATATAAATTTATTATAAGTTTTCATTGTGTAAATTATTGAAACTTCAATTGTTGTTATATATGAACTATTCATCTGGTAAATTCTCACTAAATATTTTGAAATATTATTTATTTCCTATAAGATTGATTAGATAATGAAAATTGTGCATTTAAATTCTTAAAATATAAAAAAAAAAAATTGTCTCATAGATAGTTAATCAACTTATAATAAAATATACATTTTAATTAAAGTAATATAGATTTAGAATAGAAAATTAGAGTTTGAGTTACAACAAATAAGATTTGATATAAGTAAAGAGAAAATAAAGTATTGTTAGAATAATTATAGTGTAACATTCATTTTATATTTTATATTTTTATTTTTAATATATAATTGAAAGAAACAAATCAAATTAAGTAAATATTATTATATATTAATTTTTATTACAAAGAAGAAAAGAGTTGAAAAAATAATAGAAAAATTTTTAAAAAAATGTATATAAATTTCATTTTATATACACTAATTTATTTGTTATAATTATTATATAAAAAGAAAATGTATGTTATAATTGTTGTTGTTGTTATTACTATTACTATTATTATTATGTTAAAAAATATTTTGTAATGAGTAAATTAAAATAATAAATAATTAACAAAATATATATTTCGTTACTAATGTTTGTACAGAAATGGAAAAATAAAAAGAGAAAGATAATAACTTTGAAAATGTCTTATCATTTTACAATGAATAAATCAAAATGAACAAGTTATCTATTCACATTATTACCCCAATATAATTTTTATTCCCGTTATAACATTATCAACATTGGCTCTTATTATATTTATTTACTTGTTATAACGAGTGCATTACGTGATTAAATTAATGTCCGATACAAAAATTAAAATAAGTAAATGCTTAATACATTTTTAAATATTAAATAATTAACATAAAATATTTAATATAAAATAAAAATAATTATTTTCAATATAATAAAAAAAGAGTATTTTCAATTTGTAATAAAGTATTAGTAAATATGAGTATTGTTCTAGATGGCTATAATTCATAATAAAAATGATTTCTTATAATTTTCATACTAAAATAAATTTAGTCTTCTTAATGCGATATTGATGAGGCAGTAAAGAGTTAAAATTTTGTCTCAATCAAATTAGGCATGTAATGAAATGCACAATTTAATTAAAGCAATATAGATTTGGAATATAAAATTAAAGTTACAACAAATAATGATTTATTTAAGTAAAGAAAGTACAAATTATTCTTAGAATAATTATAATATGACATTCATATTCGTTGATGAAGATTCTAAAAATAATAACTTTCACTTTTGTTTAAAAAATATAGTTGAAAGAAACAAATCAAATTAAGTAAATAAACTTTTCAAAAAAAAAATTAAGTAAATAAACTAAATATTATTATATTTTAATTTTAATTATTACCACAAAGAATAAAAGTGTTAAAAAAAAATTGACATGAGTTTCATCTTGTGTATACTAATTTAATAATAATAATAATAATAATAATAATAATAATAATTATTATTATTATTATTATTATCATTATTACTATTAGTAATCATTATTACTATTAGTACTATTATTATTATTATTATTATTATTATTATTATTATTATTATTATTATTATATTAGAAAATACTTCACCAATGAGTAAATTAAGTGTAATAAATAGTTAATCGAATATTATTTTTCTAAAGTGTGTACATAAATTGAAAAGTAAAAAGTGAAAGAAAGTAACTTTAAAAATGTATTATCATTGTACAAAAAATAAATAAAAATGTACAAATTATCAATTCACATTATTTCACTAACATAATTTTTATTTTCATTATAAACTTACTAATATTGACTCTTACTATATTTAAATAGATGTATAAGGAATAAATAAAAATGTACAAATTATTAATCCATATTATTAATTACACCAACATAGTTTTATTGTCATTATATACCTTTACTAATATTGACTCTTATTACATTCAGTAGATAGTAGATAATATATATATATATATATATATATATATATATATATATATATTAGTAGATAATAGCTTTTTTGGTAACAATATAATTTTTGGTGGGTTCAAAGTGAAAGAAAATTTTGTTGCAGCCTTGGATGATAAGACTATTTGCACTCATGTAATCTTCTCACTTTTAAAATGATGAAATTTTTTATTAATTACTATTCATTCTTCATCCATTTAATTACCTTTTTTCTTTTAAAAATAATCTCACTTTCATTTCAACTTATAAAATATATTATTTTCTTTTATCAATGAAATTTTTCTACTATTAATCTATTATATCAATATATAAATTGATCTAAGATATTAAACAAATGATTAAAAAATTTTAAATTTCATCAAATTATTTTAAAACTTTTGAAATAAAATAATTCGTAAACAAATATTTGGAAAAAAGTTATACTATGTAAAAATTTACGATAGTCAATTGATAGATGAGAGAGTAAATTCTAGGAATGATTGTATAGTTATTGACATTCATCAATTTTTATTATTGACTTTCAATTTGACCATAAATGACTATTAATTTTGTTTCAAATTTTTTCTTTTAATTAAATATTTATTTAGTAAGAGTTAAATTTAAATGTGTGAATGTAAAAATGGACTTGATACTAAAATAGACATATTAAATTCATGAGCTTCATGCATTAGTGAAAATGTAAAGAACATGTTAATACAAAAGTTAATTTAGACCAGATTATTAATAAAAGACTTATCATAGTCAAATAATAGATAAAAGAGTTAATTTCATAAATAGTGAGCTTTAATTTATCAATTTTTATCATCAACTAATTAGCCTTTTCCAAATTGACCACAAACTTCATACTAGCAAGAGCTTACTAACCTTAGTATGGTAAGTGCGCATAAACTTCGATTGATCCGGAGATGAACACTTTGAAAGAACTAATAACTTGTCAAAGATTATAATTTGCCTGAAATTAGATAAAAGATGAAAGGAAAGAATGATTAGATTCCCAGAAACAATTCATAATATAAACTAATTTAATGAACAATATAGAGCCAACAACACAACAGCAAAAACTAAGCAAACAAGTTAGGAATGAAAGAAATGGCTTTATTAACAATACCTACAATATAATATTATATTATTTCAAAAACAACTTAATTACCTCTGATCTGATTCGTAAGTGAATGGGCAGAGAAATGAGTTTCAATTCAGAGCGACTATCCAATATATATCTTTAAGAAATCTGCAGATTTCTTAATTAAAGTAGAAGAAGAGATGAGAGTGGTTTATATGAAAATATGAAAAGAGATTGCTGCAGATAATTACGGGAGAATTGAAATGCTAATATATGATGAGAGATTGATTTTGGGTGGAAGACAACAAATATGGTTTTAGCCCATTTATAGAACAAAGTTACAAGGATATATATGCTGTTCATTTGTTTTGTCGATCTTAATTAAATTGATTTTGGTCCCTCAGGTCGTCAAGCTTGACTATTCAAACGGCTTGGGGATTCATTTTCTTCATTTAAATTATTTATTGACTATTCAAATCGGGAATATTATATTTTCTTCATTTAAATTATTTATTTATTGCTTAATAATTGATTTTATCATCTAGCTTGACTATTCAAAAGGGGATTGATTTTCTTCATTTAAATTATCTATTGCTTAATAATTCACCTTATTGTGGAGCTTGACTATTCAAATGGCATGGGGAATCATTTTCTTCATTTATATTATCTATATCTATTGTTTAATAAGGGTCCGTTTGAAAAGTAGGAAAATGACTTCTGGAAAATGAGTTATTTTTTAGAAAATATTTTCCTTTCTCGTGTTTGGCAACACAACAGAAAACTGTCTTTTGTGTGTTTGGTTCATTTTCTGAAAAATGAGGTAGAATGGTATAATTAAACATTTTATACAATTAATTATTAATTATTTTGTTTAAAATAAAAAAAATATTTATAATAAAATTTATTTTTAAAAAAAAATCAAAAAATATTAATTATTAAAAAGTTAAAAAAAAATAAATTTAAAAAAAAAAAAAAACAAAAAGGACAGTAGAAACCAGAAAGAACTTCTCTGGTTTCCACCGCCGGTTCTCTCTGGTTTCCCTCGCTTCTTCTCTCTGGTTTCCACAGCCGGAAACCAGACTGGTTTTCAACTGCGGAAACCAGAGTTCCTCTCTTCCTCTCAATTTTTTTTTTTTTTTTTTTTTTTTTTTTACGGTTTTTGCCGGAAACCAGAGAGAAGTTCTCTACTTCTCTTTGGTTTCCCTCGCCGGAAACCAGAGAGAAGTTCTCTCTGGTTTCCATAGTCGGAAACCAGACTGGTTTCTGACTGCGGAAACCAGAGATCCTCTCTTCCTCTCATTTTTTTTTTAAGGTTTTCGGCGGAAACAGTGGTCTGGTTTCCGCCGGAAACATTGTTTTACGTTTGGCGGAAAATGACTTCCGCCAAATTTTGGCGGAAGTCATTTTCCGCTAAATTGGGTTTGATATTTCCCAGTCAACGGAAAATGTTTTCCGTTGACTGGGTTTTCCAACCCCATCCAAACATGAAAAATTTGAAAAATGTGAAATCATTTTCCAAATTTCTAAACACAACCTAAAAGACAATTATTATTTCTCTTTAATAAAAGACAGAATTTTGTTAACTAGAACGCACTGCACCTTCCTGTGGATCCGAGGTCGTTCAATACCGTTATAGTATTATACCACTTGAGGCCACCAACTTGCTAACACTTTTGTTTGCGGTTTGTAATGGAATTAAGATTGCAAACGACCAAAGACTAATCATAAAGAAATGTATTTTCTTAATATTTGATGGGAACTTGCTAAGTTTAAGATCATTAAGAAGATGTGGTTTACATATACTACTACGGGATAACTCAAGATGATGGAGAAAGTCAATTTCAACAAATAGATATGATTTTGAGACTCCACACCTCAAATTTTTAAAACCATGAAGTTTCCTTAATAAATGCTCATCCAAGCTAAGGTTTGTAAGATTTTTGAATTGAACCATGGGGAATTGGTTCCATAACTGATGGTCCTTCCATTCGTGCCCGCAGGTGCCGGCGCACACGAGCTTGAATCAAGCCTTTTTTCAAGCTAGAAAAAATGATTTCTAGAAATTATTTTTTGGAACCTGAGTTATTTGTCAAAAAATATTTTCATTTTAGTGTTTGGTTATATTTCAGAAAACTGTATTCGTGTGCTTAGTTCATTTACCAGAAAATGAGTAGAAAAGAAAAGCGTCAAATACCCTAAACTTTATCCAGTCAACTTGAAAGACAAAATCGACGATCGAAAATGGCCGAACCATCGTCAATCGCCTTCTACCAGAGATGGAATGCGACCACTGGTCGCCTTCCCATCTCGTCACCCATGAACTTTTTCTCTGCCTAGAAAATGACTTCTCCCAAAAAAAGAAAGAAAGTCATTTTTTAAAAATTTGCTTTGTTTTTCTTTGACCATAAATCAAATATTAATCCTTATTTAAAAGATCCGAATTACAACTTTTTAGTAATATTTTTTTACACATTAACTTTATTTGTATAAAAAGAAAAAGAAACGAAATAATAATGTAACATTTTTGAACTAGGGTCCGCGACCGCTAATTGTTATAGGCAAAAATTATAGTCACTAAATTTCTTTTTACTTACAATTATAAATTTATATCACTAAATTTCGGTCTCTATCTATATATCTTGTCATAATTATATACATCACCCTTTATTTTATTGGTATACATGACGTAAGCTAATTAAGAGTTCTACTACATGTATTCTTTAATCTTACTTTTTAAATTTTACTCTCTGATGTCACGAATTCTGATAAGTTATGTTTTTATGTGAATCCCAATACAAGTGCCTACATCAAAATTCAGTGTGTGGAAGTAGAAGTTAGAAGTATAATATGAGAATACATGTAGCATTTTCCGCTAATTAATGAGGGTACATTGTTAGCTACGCGATATGACCCAGTGGCATGCATTATTGAAGTGATATATATGTACTAAGATTCATAACCCCTCGCCTATAAACAAACTTAGGCTTCGAATGTGACATCTTATTATTGCAAACTTTACATTTATGGATGGTGTGAGACACGTTTCTATTAAATATACCAATACCACAATCACATTAGCCAGGAATTGGTCTCTTCTTGGTCTAATCATCATATCATTGCAATCACATTTAAAAGTTTGATACTTTGATGCTTCAAAATTTTTTTTTAAAAAAAAAATTGTAAATTTGCGAAAAAATCGCCTTATATTAATTATGTACTAGTATGACGATTTTTTTTTTCTTCCTCAGTTGAATATTAAAAATTACTTTTTTTTTTTTTGGATGAAAAGGAAAATCCGTAATCATTATCCAATGGTGTATATTGAGTAAACATCGTCTTATGACTCTAATCGACAAAAGACTACAAGTGAACTGTAAGTGTACATATTTTGTACATATTAAACCTATGTTGGCTAATTTATTTTTATAAATAATAGACTTAGGTTAGCCAAAGCTCTTGGACCATTTTTATTCATCATATGTTAAATGTTTGAGTGGCTCTTGTTTATTAGTGATATGAAAGGGAAATCAACTAACAGGTTATGGTTCAAGCAAAATGTGTGGTGTTTAAACGAATGGCTGAGAATGAGTTACTATGTTGGAAAGCTACTTTTGTGCCTTGAGAAATTGGAAGCTTCATCACTATAAAAGGAAAGAAAGATCATTGTGGAAGTTGTCAATTTGAGATTTAATATTATTTTTAGAAGTGAACATTCTATTACTGCTAACGAATTGAATCAAATATATTTAATTATTCTGCTGAGCTACGGTCTGCACCTGAATCAGTTGGAGTACTGTTCGAAGGTTATCAAGGCATGCACATCACGATCCAGGTTGGATGTTAGGAAGGTTGTTTGTAGTATGGTAGCTAAGACTGTGATAGTCTAATGTACTGTTCTATTGTAAAACTACTCGGTGAACATTTACGGTGGATTGGGCAGACGTGGGTTGCCCCGCAGACGTAGGAGAAGCGCTTCGAACTGCGTAACAAATTACTGTGTACTTGATTTAATTACTGCTTTTATTTTCTGCTATTTACTATCACTAAATAACAAAAATTAATCGGTCGAAATTTAATACAAGTTTAAAAATCAAGTAGAAGTTTTAGGTTCGGTTAGATTAAGGTTCACGGCACTATTTCATGAACCAACCTTTTTGAAAATTTTATGATGCTTCATTAAAAGTAGGCCGAAATAACATCCGGTGGGAGCAGATCCCAATACATAATTGCAGTTTGCTGATAAGCTGTAGTAGCTAAAGCATGAGCTAAATGGTTCTCTACTCTAGGAATAAAATGAAACGAACAAGACTGAAACGAAGATGCAATAAGCCTGCAAGTGTCAATGGCATAGCCTAGATATGTGCGCAGCACAATAGTTGGTGTAGTAAGATAGTGATGTAGTGTCAGGCAGTCCGTATAAACCTCAACACTCTGCTCACCCCGATCCTTCAACCATGATAGAGCCTCTTTACATGCGAGCACCTCTACCATAAGTGGTGAGGAGCATCCTTGTAGTGGTCCACTGAATGCCGAAACATATCCCCCGTCCGTGTCTAGTAAGAGTACCCCCAAAGCAGCTTGTCCTGTCTCCTGCAAATACCCCCCGTCCACACGGCATATGCGCCTTGGCGGTCCAGGTGGCTCGGCAGCGAAGGAATCTGGCGCATGGAGGTTGGCGTTCCCTTGCAACGGATTTGGCATGGCTAGGAGCGTGGTGGGCGGTGCCGTGGGCTGCTGTGGGTGCGCCCGAGTCCAAGCCAGCTTGGTAGCAGCGGCTATTTTGAGGACCACTTCCGGCCGTGGTAATGTTGCTTCCCATACGGCCCTGTTCCTTGCTCTCCATATATTGTAAAGTATTGCTACTGCATAGAATATCCCGTCAGAGTCTAGAGCATTTAGAAGTTCATCAAACCAAACATTTCATGAACCAACCTAAGTTGCCTATAATTCTGAATTTATTATTCTGCCAGTTGAATATGAATCAGAATCTCCATCGCCAACCATGAAGGCTCATTTTTTTAAAATACATTATTTGATATACTACTTAAATAATGTACTGTTAAAAACATTATATTAAAAATGAACATTTATTCAATGCCCCACAAAAGTACAAACATATGATCTCCTAAATTTGAAAGAGCCACAAAGGTGTCATTGAGCTACAAACATCCAGTCCAGCCACACAGACCATTAGACAAAGATTGACCATTTGTTATTCACAATAATGCATGTCTGGCAATTAGCAAACGTTTGAAAATTAGCTTCATCTTCTGTCAATATCCCATTATAGTTTCATGGAATATCACAATATGCTTTGTCCAGTGGGATACTACATATTATCTCACCCAATAAAGATCAGTCGAGTTGAAAAATACCATTTACTACACTCGTAAGTAATCTGAGTCTGATAATGTTATTTTAAATATACTACTAACTCTGTTACAATACAGTACGTCAATATCGTCTCTAGAGGCTCGATCCCACAACCTCCCCTGTGAGGGAACAACTTGGTGCCATTATACTACAATTGACCATTTTCATCTGCTTGACCATTTTAACCCCTAATTTATGCACACAGTGACAGTTTTAGTATCTGAATAACCAACTACTTTATTAAATACTAGTAACATATTGGTGATAGAATAGTCTCCGAAGGACTAACATCTTCACTCCACATATAACTTAAGGGTTGAAGATGGACCTTGCAAGTTGCAAAACTCCCCTACATTTACCATTCACACAATTACACACATTCACTCCCTAATGAGGCATTTTATGGTGAAAAAAAAAAAAAACCTATACAAAAGTAGCAACATAGAATTTCCTCTTAAAGATAGTGATGCATATAACTCAGAAACTAAGTTTGTATCACAGGTATAACTGAAAAACAAAAATATAATTTCTCTCAGTTTAATAGGAAAAATAGTATTTTTGACGAATTAAACAATAGGAAGGAAGAAGAAAAAAATAGTATGATGGCACTATGTGAAGAAAATTGACAGTTGACTTTAGTGAGAAAAGTGGTGACATTGGACAAACTTCATATATGACGTACCAACTCATATTCATGCATGGTTTTCAAATTTGTCACAAAGTTTACCAGAGAACACACCACTAGAGAAGAAATATCTTTGACCAATATTTCTTCCATACATTTCCCCCACTTCTGATGCCTTCCTCATAACACACACCCACACAACATGCCACCCATGCTCCTCCCCCCACATGCAAAGCTACTGCTAAATCATCACCAAAATACAACCAAGAGAATATACAGATAATGCATCACAAAAACATCATAGTACAAGATCCATCAACAATGGAGTTGGGAAATGTTAAAGAAACCATGCATGTTGGGCATGAACATAGTTGCTGGTTTACTAATTTCGAGTGCAAAATTCGAAGTATCAAAGTCCGATGGTACAAGAGAATTTCAGGTTATGGCAGTCTAGGAGTGAAGGGCCAAGTCCACCACTTGCCTCATAACGCATAAGGAATTAAAGTTGCACATTTGCTACTGGTTATAGCGTTTGGCGTAGTGGCCCCAGCCTTAATTGCACAGTTTTTACTCTCGCTGTGACTCGAAACCATAACCTGACTCTGATACCACTTGTTAGGATCAAACACTTACCACTACGCCAAAAGCTATAGCAAATAGCGAAGGCGAGGCAGGGTGCTGACTTTGGCCCTTCACATACAGGGATCCGCCCAACACTAATAACGTGATAACACAAGAAATATAATCCACTGTTACAGAGTGGTGTAAGTATATATACATTATATAATCTGAAGATCACAAGTATAGAGTCATGTATAGAACACAATGCATATTCAGGCTGGGTGGAAATTAAACAAAACTGGCTCCTAACATCAACAAGTGAGCAATTTACAGTTTCTCGGTAGTGTGCTATGATGTTCCTTGTTATGTATTCATCGACTGTACATACTTAAAGTGATCGCTAGACAGGAGGAGTTGGGTGATAAGTATGAAGGTGGATAGAATGAACTGCTAATTGAATATCAAGATTGAAGATTATGACACGAGAGCAAAAAAAAAGAAAAAAGTGCATATTCTATACCGATTTGATCCGGGTCGTGCAATGGACCACTCCAGTGAATCATTCATTCTCGAGGTGATATGATTCTGTTCGTGAGTAATAGGACTCGTTGAAGCTCGCCCGCAATTCCTTGCAAAAGAACTGGTTTACGAATAACACCATTCATTCCAACTTGCAAGCATCTCCCAATCACATCTTCGTCGCTGCTTGCTGTTAGAGCAATGATAAGTGGGAAGCTACCACGGCTTCGAAGCTTCCGGATTCTCATGGTTAATTCAAAGCCATCCAAATCCGGTAAATTAAGCTCCAAAAGGACTACCTGAAACAAGGATACTCCAGGGCCCAGTGCACCGAGACAATCATATCCAGACGAAACTGTGGAAACGATGCATCCAAGTTTCTCGAGCAGCCTGCAAGTTACTGCTCTATTCAGATCATTGTAGTCGGCTAACAAGACTTCGAGCCCCTCGAACAGAAAATACGGATTTGTATGGTTAGAGGCCAACTCCCCATACTCGGATATGTCTAAAACGATTGATGGCTTGAGTTGAAATGGAAGAAGAATTGCTACGCTCCGATCAAACCCCTTCGAATTTGGGACCATCCATATCTCTCCTTGCATTAACTGCATAACATAATGTTTCAAAATATGATGTTTCGAAATACATGATGACTAGTTATTAGTTATCACTAGTCCCTATTAAATGTATAGTGCAATTAAAAACGGCAAACATGCCAAGGACCTTGTGGTCTAGTGGCACCAAGTTGCTCTCTGGTCTTCAGTAGGTTGAGAAAGTAGTTATGAACAGATACTGCATTGTAACAGAGTCAGTAGAATGGCAAACATACCTTAACTAGCTTTCGGCACAGGCTAAAGCTTAAGCCATCCTCGACCTCCCTACTACCGTTCGATTTTGTTGCACCTTCCGTCCTAGACTTATAACTACATATCCCGATTTCAAGCCGGATATAAACATTTTCACTAGACGAGTTTGATCTCCATGTCTTCCATCGGAAATCATTTCCTCCATGGCTTGCTTTTTCAGGTACTACGAGAAATTTAAGGCACCCTCCCCCGCTGATCTTCAAGAGATTCCCAACCACGTGAAGAATAACCTGAAAAACTCGTCTTTCGTCACCCATAACACGATTGGGAAGGGATCGGTCAACTTCGACAGCAAAATCATTACCCTTAAAAGCACAAAGGCACTTGATAAGGCAGGCAGCTTCTTTTACCATAGAGTGTAGCTGAAAGGACCTGAACTCGAGCGGGAACTTCCCGTTGTCCTTTGTCGAAGTATCCATCACGTCGTTTATTAAGTTCGAGAGGACGTTGCTGGTTTTCGCCATCGCATCTACGAGGAGTTTTTGGTCAGTGTTTAATTTCTCGTCTTGCAAGATTGAGAGCAAGCCCGAGATCGAGTGCAAAGGTCTTCTCATCCCATTGCTCACGACCATTTGAAAGCCGGTTCTTGCCTGATTGGCCCTCAGGGCATCCTTCTGTGCTTGTTGTAGAGCTCGGTTTTGCTCGACTAATTTCTCCCGCATATGCTGAGACTCTTCGAGCACCGCAGCATGGGAAATCGCCACCGCAACCTGATCAGCTACAACCTTTACTATTTCGATTTCCTGGTTGCCCCAACATCTCCCCTGCCCAGCGGGAATCACCAACACCAGAATTGCATAACACGCAGGCACAAGCTCGGGAGTCCCGCCTTTAAAGTTAGCAACCCTCAGCATCGGCACCCTTATTGCAGCCACGCCTCCGGGCTCGCAGTTCCCTCCACTACTAGCACCAGCAAGTGGAGATTCAGGGTCGAGTAGCTTCACTTCGACGCTCTTCTTGATTTCTTGAACATCCGGATCAAGAATCGGAATAGAGTAGTTGTATAAACTCGAAAAGTCCTTCCCCCTCACCTCATGAGTCAGATTCATTCCCGTTTTTCCCTCGTTAGGCATCCAAATCGCGCAATTACACAAACCCAACGTCTTGGATAGCTCAATCAGCGTCGTATACAGTATCGTGTGGCGATCGAGCGACTTGCGAATTTCTTGAGTAAGCATCCGGACATCCCACCCTGCTTCTTTCTGCTTCTTTATCATCCCAACTTCTCGACCAAGATCCCGGGCCTTCTTCTTCAGCATTATTTCCCTCACCTTCACCTTCAGCAGCAAGGGGATGAGCGTTATAAGCGTTATAGCAGTAGCAAACGAGACCATGGCCGTGAGAGCTTTGAAAACCGTGAGGGCAAGCATAAGGTGAAACGGATGTTGCCCATAGTAAGTCCAACCACTGAGCAGATGAGTCATCCCACACAGAACGATGAACGCAATAAACTCAAACACCACCAACTTAAGCGGGATGTTCGAGCAGCTAATGAAGTAAAGAAGCTCAATCGGGATGGAGAAATAGGCCACCGCAATCAAAAAGTCGCTAACTTTTTGGCACTCCAAAATGCTCTCGATGCTCCAAACTCCCTCGATATCATCACAGTTACACCCAACGCCATTATCAGCAGCTGCTAGCACAACTAGGAACCACGAAATAAACAGCCCTGATGCTAGCAGCTTCAACATCATACCTTAAAATATGCTAAATTCCTTAATCCATTAACTAAATAGACTATAACTACTCTCCATTAACTTCCTGTCCCAATCACACACTCACAGAACATAACTTTAAAACACTCATTTCCTGCTTAGTAACCTGTCCAGGTACATGGAAAAATTATATCATTTACATATTTAAACTATTTGAATTGATCAAACACATGAAATATAATATATCTATAAAAAAAAAAAAAAAAAAAAAAAAAAAAAAAAAAAAAACTCAGATACACTATGTACCCAAAAAAGAGTCTGATACACCAAATATATCAATAGCAATTAAGACTATTTTTGTTAAAAAATCCAAATCGTTGCTTTCACATGTATAACAAAAACAAACGATTTAAGAATATAAAAAAGCACAAAAAGTAGCCAACATTTAGTAAAGTACGGAGTAATAGTTTTTTTTTTTTTTTTTTTTTTTTTCATATTTTAATGTAAAATACAGCTAAAATATTGAAATGTGGAAGAAAGATGGGATTTTTTTACCTGGAAAACCAAACTCGCAGTTGACAGTGAAAACCCAGAACTCCGTCATCACCAATGCTTCTCCCTTGCATTGGTTTCTTGTATAGGGGAAATCCCAAAGAAATTAAAGCCCAAAAATCCCAGAAAACTCAGAGACTCAGATGCAATCAAACCAGTTATTCCCGGGTTTTGGCACTTTTGCACTTCCAAATTAACCCGGAAAGCCGGCGATTAAGCTCGTAAGCTGGCAAAGAAAGGAAAGAGAGGATTTCGCTTCCCTAACAAAACCATACTTGTTTTTGTATTTATATGGAGGGTTCAAGTCTTCAAGATATACTGCACCCCGGCCCAGTAGAATTTTATGAAGGAAACTTTGTGATTCTTCAAGATTTGTGTTGTGGTGTAACAATGGAAGTTTCCGAATAAGGATGAAGAAACGGGTGTAAGAAGGGAGCATGAGAGTGTAATAGGGAGTGTAGATATAGAGAGAGAAGGAGGCGTTGTTTGCTAGGAAAGTGGTGCAAATCTGCAATGGAATGAAGAAGAAGACAGGTGGAGTTATATGGAGTCGGCTATTACGGAGAGTAGTATATTGAGCGTATGGATTTTCATCGTATCTGTATTGGGCAAATACTTCGTTACGGTATGGGGGGGCTATGGCGTGCTGTGTCGAAATTGTACGATGTTAGAGTGGAAACTTCGGGCTGACATGATAGTAGTTGGAGCTTTTATTTTATTTTATTATTTTATTATGAAATAAGGTTCAAATTGCTTCAGTAACTTGAAAGTGCAATTAGATCACTAAACAGAAAAAGAAAAAAAAAAGTGCAATTAGACCATTAAACACTATAAAAAAGTATAATTAGGTCATTGAACATTGTAAAATCATGCAAGTTGTCTCAAATGACTTAAATTAACAGGTTATCCCAACAGGTAATTAGCTAAAACTTTTTAAAAAAATTATTAGAAAAAAAAAAAAAAACAGGATATCACCAGATCCATGAAGGGATGAAGGCAGCTGCCATGGCTGCCTTAATCCCTTCATTTTCTTTTTAAGCTTTAAAGTGATGAAGGCAGTGTATTTAAATTATGAATTTACAGTACATAAATTATGAATTTATAATGCAGAAATTATGAATCTACAGTACAGATATTATGAATCTGCAGTATAGAAATTATGAATCTACGGTTTAGAAATTAAGAATCTAAAGTATAAATTTTATTAATCTACAGTATAGAATTATGGATTTACAATATAGAAATTATGAATCTACAGTATAGAAATTATGGATATGGAACCGTGCCAACCTTGCAAGGTGGGCATGTGCTCACAGCATAAGATAGCTCTAATTGAACCCATCAACTCGTCAAATTAGTGTAACTCACCTATTTTACATGTAACATTTCGGTTAATGCTGACATAAGCAGTCACATGGACTAAAAAAAACCTACATGTAAGATGTAACCACGCCGGATACCACTCCAGCAGTATGAGCAACACCAACCCGACAGCCATCATGGCTGTCCGAGGACAGAAGCAGACGACGGAGTCTCCAACAATGAAGTTGACAAACACCCAAGCCTGCTTCAACCGCCGAGATGCCGACGTCCAAAGCTAAGGTTCCGACATGGGGCAGTCGCACTGGGCCCTGACTGGCAGAGCTTGTAGCCGAGACCAACGCCACTATCCTTCTCTTTGTTCGCCGCCTCCATACGCTGAAAAGTCGTCAGCTACGCATTAACGCCTGGGGAAGTCACCGGTGGCCAATCAGCAATCTCACCATCAACGAATGGCCGTCGCGATGAGACGACCCCAGTCCTACCATCTAATCCTTGATCGACCGGCTGGATCGCCGGGAACTTCGCAGTCTTCGACGGTCAAAGCGGGCTTGGGTGTCTCCAGGGACGGAGCCAAAAGGGGGCAGGGTGGTCAGCTGCCCCCCCCCCCCTCCCCACACCCCACCCCCACCCCATATATAGTTTTTGTATGTATATATGTATATATAGTACAGGGTTTAGTATTATAGATGTTAACAATAAGTGAGTTAGATTAGGTGGTAAAACATATATTTGGTAATAGTGAGGTTAAGGGTTTAAATCTTGACATCAACATAGTTTTACAATTCTTTTTACTCTCTCTCTCTCTCTCTCACACACACACACACACACACACACACACACACACACACACACACACACACACACACACACACACACACACACACACACACACACACACACACACACACACACACACATATATATATATATATATATATATATATATATATATATATATATATATATATAGAATCCGGATCAGGTGAGGACCTAATCTTAGGTGAGGACGTGAGGACTAATCTTGTGCGTTTGTTTTTTTATTTGGATGGTCCAGATTTGAGTTCTTGAGATGACATGGATTGATCTTTTTTGTTAAAGTGGGATAATAGTGTCTTTTTCTATTTTTTTTTAAGTGTGAACGCATGTATAATCCTGGGCCAAATTGGTTTCCTATTTTCTTGGATCATCACCGTTGCAATTTGGAGCCGCGCTTTCTTCATCATTGATTGAGTGTTCGCCCATGCAAACTAATCAGTATTTTTTATTTTTTTTCGCTTGTTCTTTTGAGTATAATATTGTCTATATCTGGATTATCGTGTATATGTATAAATGCCTGGGTAGTACGATTGTGCATTCGTGTGTGCTGATTGTGCAACCTAGTGTTGTAAGTTGTGCACTATAGGCTAGGGAGTTGTGCATTATAGCACATAGTTCAATGCATCGTAGAACATTGGATGTTCACTGTATGATTTTTTGGCGGGGTTTGAATGCACAACAATGAAGTTATTGATGCACAACACTCAGTATAGGAATGCACATCTTTTAATAAGACTGATTTACCCTAAATTTATATATTTTAATATTTTAAAGGGATTTGTTTTCTTAATCCGTGTGATTTGTTTCTCTTAATCTCAATCATACATCATTCTGATTTAATGGTCTAGATTAGTCCTCACGTCCTCACCTAAGATTAGGTCCTCACCTGATCCGGACCCTATATATATATATATATATATATATATATATATATATATATATATATATATATATATATATATATATATATATATATATATATATATATATATATATATAACATTCTTTTATATTAATAATAAGATGTGTAATTTATAATGTGTTTTCTATTCAAAATATTTTATCAAATTAATTATGTTTCATATTTTGTTATGAATATTTTTATAAAGTTTCGATGTGTTTAATTTTTCGTCCATATCCAACAATATTTACAATTATATTTCTAAGGTAATTTATTTATTAAATTATCTCTTTTGTTTTAATGTTTCGCTTTTATTGGAAAAATTTTCCGAATCCGTCTGTACTGTTTCGCCCCCCCTCAATCGAATTTCTGGCTCCGTCCCTGGGTGTCTCATCGACTTCGTAGTTGGAGACTCCATTGTCTGCTTCTGTCTCCGGCCAGCCATGATGGCTCTCAGGTTGGTGCTGCTCAACTGAGGAACATGGAGTGGAAACCCAAGCTACATAGAAAAATACTCAAGTGTCTACATATCTATGCCTCCTCTAGTTTTTTCTTGCAAATAAGAGGAAAGAGATTGAGTTCATATCAAAAGTTTGGGATCGCTTTGAAAATATCTTAAATGATGAGAGCAAAGTTACTAAAGGGAAGATCTATATTGTGCAAAACTCTTTGCATGTGAGTCTAAAGAATATGGCACTTCCTCTTTAAGAAATCATATATTAGGCTGTCTCAAAAATCCACATTCTAATGATACAAGGCAATTACTTCTTACATTCCAATATGTTTCTACTTCTATTACAACAGAGGGTTCTGTTTCTACTTCCACTACAATATAGGGTTTTGTTTATACTTCTAGGTTCTGAAAGTGTTAGAGACTTTGGGCAAAATGTAAAATACAACTTTTATAGCACATTATATATAAAAAAAAAATTAAAGAAAAAATGGACATAATTGAAGGATACTAACCTACCTTCCTTCTTATAAGATACACACACTCAGACTTAATATATACATGTTATATATTTTTCGCGTGGTTCTTTTTTTTAATTTTTTTTGAATTGTTGTTTTAGTATTTCTCGTGTTTTATACTACATAGATTATAAGTATAGCTTAGCTGTGGCTATATACTTTGGTAGTAATTGAACTAGAAAGAAGAATTTGATTAGAACATATTGATTCTACCTCAAAAATATATGCTCCCATGAGTGAAGGGAAAGAAAAAAGTGACCAAAAAACTATCTTTTAAAATTAATGAACAATTAATGCATTATGAAATATAGAAAATGACATAAGAATATATACAATGTTGTTTTTTTAGGCCATAAATACAATGTTGTTTATTACCGTCAAAAGTAGTTGAGCCAAATTAGTGAAAGAGTTAATTACTCCACTTACTTTAATGCGAAGATGTTTCTTCTAAAAGATAGTGACTCTCTTTTCTTTCCTTTTTTTTTTTTTTTTTCATGATACAATTAATCTACTACACCATCAATCTCATGTCAAGAGCTCAAACACATGCTGCGTGAAGGTAACCAATGTGCTGATTGCCTCGCCAACCTGGGACAGGTTTCTCAATGAGGAACGACAACCTTGTTGCACCCTCCCCACGGGATCATCCCGATGATTGCTCGTGACGCGAACAATGTTGCAGTTAGAAGGCTTTATTAACCCGGGGGCCTCGGCCCCTTTCTTCCACCAAAAAAAATCAATCTCATGTCAAACCTTTCTTTATCTTTATAAATAAGGAACGGAGAGTTTAAAATATTTTTAATGGAAATTAAATTCAAACCATTTATAATAAATAGGGATTTAATTGCCATACTACTATATCAACTTGTTAATATTTTTCATATTTTATCACTACTGGAAATTTTGAAATTTCCGACCACCTGAAAGTGATTTTAAATCAAGTCGAAAGCCTTGTTCCAACCACTTTTGGTATCCGGAAAAACCTTTGTTGCTATTTCCGACCACTTTTTACTTTCGAATTGATTTAAGATCATTTTCATGTGGTCGGAAATTCAATAATTTCCAGTAGTGTTATATTAGCAATTGATTTACAAAATTCTAAATTATAGATTTTCAGAGTCAAATTCTTGTATCTCTAAAAAAATAACTCTCAATAGGAAAACAAATATTAAAAATTCTTAATTATTATTTTATTTAACCCAAACTAAAGAAAGGTCATTGGCAATTGTAAGGGGCAATTATGAGCTTTTAGTCCTTTATTTAGGAGTGGTTTTGCTTTTGTAATTTTGTTTATTTATATCAATTAATAATATTATTAATTAACAATGATACTTGTTTTCAAAAAAAAAAAAAAAAAAACAATGATACTTCGAAGAAATGTCTTTTTAGGGCCACAACAATTTAATTTTAGGAAATTATATTTTACAATTTTAGTGGTCAATAAAGATTTTGAAAAAAAATTGTTAAGGAGTTTGATATTATTATTCTTTCAACAAAGGCTGAACCCCAACCCTAAGGGACCCCCCACCCCGACCCGACAGAGCATTTGGGAAGATGTAAATCATGGTGACTCAACTGAACATGAACCACAGAGGCTAGACCGGTGCTCACTGCGCACAAGGAGCCCCCCTCACTTTGAGAGGTTGCTCCCACACTGCCGCTGGTGAGACTCGATCCCTGATCATTCTTCCAAAGTTGAGTTGATATTATTATAAC